GAGCTGTAGTCCAAAACAATAACTTTTCCAAGTTCCAAGGTTTTAAAACACTATACAGTATAGGCATAGCAAATGGTGTAGAACAATACAGTTTTGTGCCACTGCTCTGGTACTCTGGCTACTGGGAAGACAGAGAATGGGAGACCGTCCAAATCCTGCTATGTTGTTATGCAACCACCTGGCAGAAGATATCCTTTGATTTCTAATCCTGCATTAAGCAAGGGGTTGGACTCAATGGCCTTACAGGCCCCTTCCAACCTAATTATTCTATGATTCTAAAAGCCACAACATTTAGAGGTGAATTGCAATAAATTAAGAAATCGCCATAGACATTATCTGTTGCACATTGAGTCACGTGACTCAGTGTGCAACAGTTAATGTCTACAAAGATTTCTTAACGTGCAGAAACTCCCCACTAAATTTACACCTTTTGCATAACTCTGTAGGATTTCAGCCGTTAGTTCAAATACAAGCCTTGAAGACAGGATAAAAATGCAACTGATAATAAATACAAATATATATACCTTTATATTAAAAAATCATGTATAAGGGCAAACATGTTCCCAGCAGGTTTTCAGCGTCCTATATGAGAAATACCTGCTGGTTTGTTGTGTCATGTCATAGCAATGATATAAATGCCAATCTTCATTAACATGTCATAACTGGAGTCAAGATTCCTGTTCTCCTAGGAGAGCACAAGCGTTGTCCTTTTAGTGTTATTGGGAATCCTATGCTAAGGCTGTAATATTTACTGAAGAGATCTATGGTATTGAAACAATTTTTGTTGAGAAGAACAGAGCAAAACAGGTAGTAGTGTTAACAACTGAAAGTTGGGTGGTCATTCATAGAATGAAGTTAATTACGTGTAATAACATTAGTAATGAATTCAGCGTTCATAATGAATGTGAGCAAGCATTGTGTCCAAGAAAGAGTACCCTAATTCTGAAATGCATAATTGTTTAAAGGGATGACAACAGTGTAGGTGTTATAATACTCCAACATCCCTGACACCACTTAGGCAAAGACAACTTCTGCTTGTTCAGTCTTGCAGTACCATTAAGTATCTGAGGAAATGGCACAAATGACTGGAGCAAATGCATTTGAAATGACAGTAATGACAACAAACCTAAAAAATTTAGACTGTTGTTAATTATCTGTTTTGCCTGTGTTTTAAAAAAGAACTGTCAGCATGATACTGTCGGTGAGAAGTGTGAGCGTTGCAAAGAAGGTTACTTTGGAGATGCCAGTCAAGGAACCTGCAGGGTGTGCCGTTGCCCTTATACAAACAGGTACTGTGTGGGGCTAGGAATGGGAAGTGGTGTTTTATTGTGCTTGGCACGCATAGTTGCCTTGATTAAAGTCTCAATCCATTATGATAATGAAACAAGCCATGTTTGATAAGTGGTGTTTCTTTGTTTAATGAATGCTTTCCTGGGCATGTTCCTTGAATGCGTATTTGATTTTCATTTTACTGAGCCCTTCATAGACATAACTGGGCACGGAGGCATAGTTGTTAGAAAGCAACAAGAAGAACTACAAGTTTTCCTGGCTTTTAATTTTGTGTGTTGTGGTTTCTTTCACAAATATTAATGTCAACCTCAAGTCCGATGGGTGGCTCATAGGCAGTGGAAGAGGCAGTGCCTCCAACCACCATTTTGAAGTGATCTCTTTCGTCCTCATTCCATGAGCTGCAAGGGTTTTGCGATGGGTTCATTTCTCTGTTTTAGAAAAGGCTTCCAAGGATGGCAAGGAAAATTAAAATGGTTACCCATATTGAGTTGTGTTCATTAAAATTATGTTGAACCATGCTAAATGGATAATCATTCCTTCTGACAACGAATATGTGGCAGCAGTATAGTAAACATTAGGAGTCTGAGAAAAAAAAGAAGACGTCTTAGTATGCTCGGGGGAGTTCTAAGATTACCAGAAGCAGAGAAAATCTTAAAAGAAAAAGAAACCTCTTGAACTGACAAAATCACCCCAGCAATCCAATGAAGAATCAATTTGCTTGATATTCACAGAATATTGTAGGTCAATTAGAGAAGAAAACTGGAAAACTATTAGGTGGGGGAAAGCATGGCCAGCTGGCTGGCAAGTTGGCTGATTAGAACTCCAAAGAGGAGCATGTCTTTTAGGGAAAGAGGTGGTACAGTGTGACATTGTTATGCATGTCACATTGCATTGCTTATATGCCGTAGTTATTCTTTCAATAACTATGGCTGAACTACTGGTCCATATGGAAGAGATATTATAAGTAAAGGGGGAAAATGTCCCAAACTTGCAGTAAATATTTACTGATTTGAATTATCTTCTAAAATATTTGTTCATTTCTAAGATACTTTTTAGTTTGGTTTCCCCAAATGGGAAATCAGATTATTTGACAAAGTTTAGAAAGCTATTGCTCATCAGAGAGATGGAGTGGATTGTGGCTACTTGATCCTTTGATTTGTATTCCTGCACTGAGCAGGGGGTTGAACTCAATGACCTTATAGGCCCCTTCCATCTTCATCATTCTGTGATTCTATGGTCTTCTAGAAATCACACTGATGTGACTAGTGTGATGATAAGTTAAAGTGTGCTGTTTATAAACTGGCCCATAATGCTTAAACCACTCTCTGGCTAGCTTACAATTTAATTATGATGGCTACACATTGTAAGCCTGAATAATTAAATTGTAAGTAAAAACATATAGGCGGAAATCCTGTTGCTTAGTGTAGTAGTATAGTAAGTTGCACTATAGTTGACTCATTTAATCAATTTAGTAAGGTAAATTGCAACTGAGGCAGGATTTGATGAAGGAGATTCACCAAATCCTGTCTCAGTTGCAATTTACTTTAGGATAGCAAACTGCAGCTAGAGTAGGCTCATTCGAATCAGTGGAACTTACAGAAAATTTAATTCACCATTTATTTATTTATTTATTTTATTAATATCCCGCCTATCTGGTCGGGTAAGGACCACTCTAGGCAGCTAACAATCATAAAAACACAACAATAAAAAATATGAACAATTCTAAATGACAAAACATTACATTACATTACCATGGGCCTACTCTAGTGCAACTTACTGAGCTCAGCTGAAATTTGAAATTTGTTTGGTGTACTCAGATTCTATGGAACTTGAGGAGGGTGTTTGGTATGTAGAAACTTCAAAACAAAATTACTGTACTTGCTCAGATACTGTATGGAGCTGAAATTTGGGGGCTTGAAATGTTACATTCATTAGAAATGATCCATTAAATTTGTTCAGTCCCTTTCAATACTTACAGTTCTTAACTATTAACTAATAGCCATTAATTATTGGTTGAACATTCTATTTGGTGCCTCTTTACGTTTTTTTTAACATTATCATGCAGGGAGATTAAACTTGGTTCATGAGAAAATCTTCGTAATGAATCATGTTGTTAAATTTGTTTTTTCAGAAGACTAGATGAGGCACCTTGGATTCTCTGCAGCAGAACTCTCATATAGGCTGAGATCCTGTTGCTTAGTGCAGTAGTGCAGTGTGGTGTGGAGTAGTGTACATCTCTGTATTCAAACAGATGGAGGTTTATTAGATACCTCCAGAATTGCACTCGGTTACAAAAAGATCTCCGCCTTTAACCCTTCCACCTTATTGTACTAACATCATAAATACAGTATTAGTCAGAGAAAAGCCTTTACGAAGGCACATTTAGATATGGTGCCACTTGCTGTTTTAGAAGGCCAGTACAAAAGGCATTCCAAATAATGAAAGCGGCTGCTTCTGTCATCAAAAATCAAGTAAGATCTTGATAAATGTCTCATTTCATTGCCCCTTGTTTGTGGCCAAGCATGCAAGACTACTCAGTGTTTTGGAACAATTTTCTGGAAAATCTGACCAAGAGAAACTTAGAGCATACTTTTAGATAAAAAAACAAGTTTGCTGAATTTCAAATGGCAAGTTTTGTTTCCAGACTTATAAAAATGAAGTCTGCATCCTCTGCCACAAACCAAGCTAGATTGTTGTTACTTAGGGTCTTTTGTCACTGAATTATTATTTTATATTTCACTCTATTAACTAAATAATAAGATCTAAACATATATACATATTATTTTTGTTTGATTCAGTCATTATTTCAAATGTAAATGGATCAAATAAAAATTTAAATAACATTATTTGTGTTAATATTAATAACTGGTATTAATAACTGGTATTAACATTTAGTCCTAATAGTCAGTCACTTGCAGTTTATAGGATATTTTTCGTAAGTCTCTTAACTATTTCTATACATAGTTTCATTACATATAACAAAAGAAGTTAATAGGGGAAGGTATTTCTCAAAGAGCAGCAGTAGAGCCTTTTGGCATATTAAAAAGAATTCTTCAGTCTTTTTTTGGTAAATAAAAGAGTACATTCAAATGTAATTAAGTCTTTGTGAGCAAATGAACTTTAGAATATGTTTGTATTGGCTTGAATAGAGTCTTGGATGCTGGACATTGTCATATACTGGACATTGTCCACCAAGGGTCTCCATAGGTAAAGGTAAATGTTCCCCTTGACATTTAGTCCAGTTGTGTCCAACTCTAGGGCATGGTGCTCATCCCTGTTTCCAAGCCATAGAGCCAGCGCTTTGTCCATAGACAGCTTCCGTGGTCATGTGGCCAGCACGACTAGACACAGAACAAGGGTCTCCATAGTGCTAGTCTATTTTCTTGGGGAAAGGGGATTGAGAAAGTAAGACTAGACAAGAGGATAAACTGGAACAGTACTATGTTTCTATTCTCTCCCCAGACATCAAACCATAACCATAATCTGGCCCCCCTCAATGCTTTGGATCTTCTCTTCAAGCATCAGAAATTGTTCTTCTGCAGTGATTGATACCTAGCCCTGGGATGGACAACTTTTGGCCTTTATTTATTTATTTATTTATTTATTGGACTTATATACCGCCCCATAGCGCTACAAGCACTCTCTGGGCAGTTTACAATTTTTAATTATACAGGCTACACATTGCCCCCCCAGCAAGCTGGGTACTCATTTTACCGACCTCGGAAGGATGGAAGGCTGAGTCAACCTTGAGCCGGCTACCTGGGATTTGAACCCCAGGTCGTGAGCACAGTTTTGGCTGCAGTACAGCGGTTTAACCACTGCGCCACGAGGCTCTTTAGGATGTTATTTGAGTGCAAATGCCACAAGCCCTAATCAACACCACCAGTTTTGAGGGATGATGTGTGTTGAAGGTCTGGAGAGCCAAATATTCCCTATCCATGACCTAGTAGATGAATGGTTAGTAGCCGTGATGGCTACTATGCCTTCCATGTTGGAGGCAGTAGGCTTCTCAATACCAGTTGCTGGGGAGGATGCTATTGTGCTTGTGTCCTGGTTATGGGATTCCCTTATGCATCTGGTTGTCCACTCTAGGAAAAGAATGCTAGCAGAAGTCTTCTTGGACCTGCTCTCCTTGGAGTTCCAAGGGTGGTTCTAGAGAATCTCACACTAATGCATCAGGCTATTAGTCTGATATCATTCATGAAGTAATGGACTATTTTGTTCATTGTTCAGAAAAAACCAATTCTGAGTGTGGTACTGATTGATCGCAATCCACCAAACACAAATCTTCTGCTTCTGTAGGCCCTCAAAGAACAGCAGCAGGCACTTATTCTTATTCTGTCTGAATATCCATTGCTAGCATTTTTATTTCCCAATTTCCTTTTAAAAGTAAGGTTATTCATTTTATTTTCAAGAATGAGCTATCTGCTGCAAGCTAGGTCCACAGCAAAAAGATGATAGGTAACAATATAGAAGTAAAAATGATTGTGACATGTCTGTTTCTCAATGTATTTGTGCTATTATTATATTTGGTATTCTGACAGTTTTATGATTCTTTGGTTCTTACACAATATATAAATATTCCAAAACCTGTCTAACTGTGCCTTGAGAAGTGTTAACACATCCATAAGTCTTCTATGTACTGTATGTTGTATTTATCTTCTTGTAGTTTTGCTTCTGGCTGTGTGGAAAATAGTGGAGATATTCAATGCTTCTGCAAAGAAGGCTATACTGGAGTGCATTGTGAAAGGTATGCGATTTGGCTGAATACTCATTGTCTATGCAGAAAGCTTAAGCAACATAGGAAACAAATTCCATGTTGCAAAATGTTGTGTATTCTAAGCAGATGTCACACTCACATGGTTTGGATGCAGTCCAAAGTGCCAGTGGGCTTGAAAACATTTTGAAAGCTTCCTGCAATGTTGAGTTGCTAGAGGGACTGCCGGATAGTTCAATAGTTTAGGGATCTGGTTGCCGAGCCAGAGGTTGGGAGTTCAGTTCTCCATTGTGTTTCCTTGACAGGGGCTGGGCTTGATAAGCCATAGGTCCCTACCAGGTTTCCAGCTTTAAGACGACAATGACGACGATGAGGGTTATTATTTAAAAATGCCAGGCACAGTCAATGATTGTTATTTAAAAATGCCAGGCACAATCAATCAAAACTATTTAAAAAATAGACTGGTATTATATAATAGATACCAGTTTTAACAACAACAAAAACCTTGAGTATCTATTAAATATTGGTGGTGTGTGTATGGTGTTCCTAATATTGCTGTTTTTTGTAGCTCTGATGGTGTTATTCCTGAAATCTGCAACTGCTTATAATTCCATGGTATTGTTCCCAAAGCCCCAGTTCACAGTGTCAAAATGTTCTGCATATTTCTGTGAAGATTCTCTGTCATGCAGGTGAGGTTATCTGGAAGTTGAGTCATGGCAAGTGGACTTCTTTCTTGTTAGGTTGAAACATTTTGCTACTCATCCAAGTAGCTTCTTCAATCTGAAGAGAGTTGGTAGGAGATCCCTGATTTATCTTCCACGTTGGTTTCACTTCCCCCTGGTCTGAATACGCTCATTAGAAGTACAAAGGACTGAGGATGAGGGATAATTCCACTTCTGCAGTCCTTGACAATGGGTGGAGAAGGAAGAAAGAAGTCCAGTTGCCATAACTCAGCTTCCAGATGTTCTGCCCATTCTGTATGGACTGTGTACATTGCATGCTCCTTAACCATGATGTGAACTGCAGAGTTTCTGTCATGCATTAGAGCATCTTGCAGGGACACTGAAACTTTTGCATCTGGGAAGTAATGTCAGCTATGGATATAGTTCTGATGTTCTACAAATTCCAAAATAGACTAAGCATAGTTATGTTTCCCTTCATTGAATCTGATATAAGTATGCAATGTATGGGCATATATTCTTAGGAAAATGTATATGGGGGGGAAAGCACTGTTAGTGGCTTATAACCAACTAGAATAGACCAAATGAATTGATCACCAAGTGGTGAGTCGACATTTGTATAAATCCCACTGATTCTATGTGTCTGCTCAGGTGGTGACTGAAAGACTGGATTCAGGTCTGTGACTTTAATGTTGCTTATGATCTTTTAATGTACAATAAACAGCTATGAAAATCTTTTAGCTGGAAATATCATACGGACAGCAGATCATATAATGTTCAGAGCTCGGAGGTAAAAATGGAATGGCTTCTGGATTTGGTTCAGTGACCAAGAGATGAGTCCTAAAGATGGAAATCTATTGCTAGAACTTTGCAGTGAAAATGCTTGGGTATAATCCCATTGCAGTGTTGCTTTGCTAATACAATTATTTGGAAAACACTAACTCTGTTGGATGACTTCTTTCTGTTTTCCTCCCCCAGTTTAGCTTACATAATTTTGAAATCAAGCTGTTTCTTGAAGTATGCAGTATTTCAGATCTGAATGTCAAAGGCACACACTAAATTTATCCCGTGACTTCAGGTGTCCTGAATTATGTATTTGGACAATGGAGACTGTATATAAAGTGTTGGCTTGACCAATTCATTTCTTGTCCCATTGGAGCTCTGAAAAAAATGAAATACCATTCAGTTTTCCAGTGTTTCAGTTGACCCTTTGAAATGGTGGTCTTCTAGGAATGAGGAATGAGGAAAACTATGTTGTTGGACTGCAGTTCCAAGCATGCTTCAACACTGGTAGTGCTAGCTAAAGCTGATGGAGATCATGTTCCAAAAGCATCTGGAATGACACACATTTCCCAATGTTTGCTTCAAATTGTACTTAATTGTACATCTGACCCTGAATGTAGTTAAAATACATGATGGGATGTGTTCTTTTTTAAAATTTTACTTTTGTAAGAATAGGCAATTGTAATTTAAATCTAATGAAATGGTTCAGTTTTTTTTGGATTTTGTGCAGATGTTTAAACTACATACGTGAAGCCATTTCAATATGGTTAAGGTCTATTAATTATAAGTTCTGTTTATATTTTGTGTATTCTTTTTTTAACAGTTGTGCTCCTGGTTATTTTGGAAATCCACTGAAATATGGAGGATACTGTCAGAAGTGTAACTGCCCTGATAACAGTCAACTTCTGAACTGTGATCGCCTGACTGGAGGTATGTAAAGTTGTGTAGATATTCCTTAATAGTGAACCATATTTTATCAAATAGTACAATGTAAAGGAAACAATAGGAGAAATATGCCTACTTGAATAGTTTAGTGAGCATTAGTCAATCTCTTGAACAAAGAAAAATTATGTTTCACTTCAGTAAACAGTAGGTACTACAATGAACTTACTGGTTGGAATTAGGCTAGTAGATTGTAATATGTCTACAGTTACTCCATAGTCTTGTGGTCATAGTATATATGTGTAAATTGCACATATGAAATGAAAACATACTCTGGCTGTGGAGGAGCATTTGAGATTCTAACAGGATTAGTTGAACAGTAGTCTTGTTTTCATTTTGATTGTAATGAAAGTTACTCTTTGGAAAGATGCAAATTCAGAGGAAGTTTGAGAAGAAACAAAACTGACATGATAAAGCAGGACATCAAGAAAGACTGCTGTTTTTAGCCTAGTATGTAGAAAGGTGTTGCATTAGAATTATTTGGATGAGTTGAGATATTTTTAATACAGTGATTTTATGTGGATCATACTTGCATATATAGCTAACAGAATTGTCAAAAGAAGATGGCTGTATTATTAGTCATATATTCTGATACGTCCTGTCTGGCCATCAGGTCATAATGATGTTTATATGTTCATATCCACATGTTATTAAAAGCAGTGGGTGGTTTGTTGCAATCTGGTTTGAGATATATAAATCCATCTTTGCTAGCAAGCCAGAGTTGGCTGAACAACCACAGATCACCACCAGAACTCATTATATGTTGTTGGTTTACAGACTCTGGTTTGCTTAAACCACTGTCTGTTTTGCCATCCAGACCTGCAGCAAGGTCTACGCAGCGTCTTATGCACATACACTGTTAGTGCTGAGTTCTAAACAACCACCGCAGATGAGCTGTGGAGTAAATCAGGGATAAGGCTAGGAGAGGCAGCCATGTAACATGTGGAAACAAAGCAAGAAGAATTTGCAGCTCAGGCAAGGTGCCAGCTGAAACAGGAAACTGTTTGTGTTTAGGAGAATCCAGTGCCCAGCCAGGATAGGCAGAGCCAGTTCAGAACTTTTAAATACTTCATTGCTAGGAAGCTGTACCAGTTCCCATTTATAGTCCCAGCAGAGGACGATGTTTCCAGAGTGTGTTCTGAATAACTCACCATACTAAGCAGCTTGTTTTCAATCCAGTGGCTCTTGACATATCATATAATTCACATCAGTTAATATGAATTGCTGTGATGCTTTTATTTCTCAGAGGTATTATTAATTTCCCCTCAGTTTACATTACACAAAACCTCCTTTATTGCAATGGCTCCCCTTTAGTAAGAATATATACTTAAACAGATATGCATGATAAGTGGATATATTATTAGAAAAGTCTTGCAAAATGGCGCTGTCCTGGTGACATTAAAGGCTGCCCAAACAAGTTATAACATCACTCGGAATTCAGTTTAATTTCAAGTGCTAAGTTGCTGTTTCCAAATGTTTGTATCAGTTATGATCAGCAGCCCTGTTATTTTAGTAAGTTTTGATATCAATGTGGTCTTTCCACTAGAATACTGAAATCTTTAATTGCATTGTCTTGGTTTGCTGTTATTGCATCATTGGCTATAATAACAGTCATAGTTAACTGGCACTTTCCCTAAGTCTATCATGAAGTGGGCTGTTTGTACATGTGATGATTGGTGGTTGACTACCTACATCTTAGCAGTTTCCCCCCACTCTTGGCTGCAGAGTTGTACAGTACTTTGTCTGAATGGTTCCTTTGGTTTCACTCTGCAAGAGCAGATAACCTGATTTACTTGGAAGCTGATGTTAGCTGGTCATAGACAAAGTCTAGTATTCCATCACAGTTTAGACGGACTATATGTTAAGTATTCTAATTCGAGGCAGCATATAGATTAAATATTGCTTTTCACCTAAGAATATGTGCCAAATCGTAGAGTGAGAATTGTACCACACAGTTCTAATTTCCCTTTTTTTCTCTCCCTAATCTTTTCCCCCATTTGCAGAATGCATAAACCAAGAACCAAAAGATGAAAACCCTCAGGAAGATTGTGACTGTAGGTATCAAAGTGTGGACAGCCTGAATAAGTTCTTACAGAGTATCATTTCTGAAGTGGGGGAGTAGGAACAAAGACATTTTCTTTTCCAGAGATTCTACTCAAAAGCAATTAGCTATGTAAATAAATGAAAAGTTTGAGGGAGGGAGAAGCTATTCTGCAAAAAGACTAGAAATTAGAAGATGTACAGCAAAAAGCCTCAGGATTTGATTACTGCCTTAATCTGATTTTCATGCTTCTATTGTTCATTATAGTCATAAATAACATATATAGCCTTTATAGAAGGATGTTCTTTTGCTCTCACTTTATTATTCTCACTGAACTTTTTCCTTGTGCTTGCTGGAGGCTAACATTTCCCACTGTTTGGCGTATGTTCTTTTCCTTTTCAGCTTGTGATAGCTGTGTAATTACTTTGCTGAAGGACCTGAGTACGATGGGGGATGAGCTCCATGTGATTAAGTTTCAGATGCAGAACCTGAACACCAGTGCTCATGCACTAGGACAGATAAGAACCCTTGAAGACCAGGTCAAACAGCTGAAGGTAGTCAGGAAAATATGATTACAGTATTTCCCTGCCTATGCTGGGGTGGTAGATGGAAAGGCATAAAGAAATCAGATAACTGCGCACCCTTTCAATTTTTTATTTTCTTTTTTGTTTTCTTTTCGCCCTTATTTTCAGATTCTCTTGAATGGCTATCGTGCTGTTGTTACAACTCAGGACTCAAAGGTGGATGAACTAGAGACAGACTTCATTGACCTTAATCTAAATGTTAATGCCCTAAAAGAAAAGGTGGGATATTTAAATCTTTTATAAATTACTGCTGCAATAAGATTTTTTTTAAAAAAAATGAATGCTGACATTTACTGGTCATTCTTCAGATTTTAAGAGGTCTGGGGGAAAACCTCACAAAGAATTTCTGATCTACTTCCAAATGCTCTTCTAATTTCCATAATAAAAGATCTTATTATATTAAATGATATATGACACAAACTCTTCTATCACATCTCATCTAGCAGCTAAAGAATGACCAGTAAATGTCATCAGATTCACCAGGTTTCTGGTGTAAATGCATATTGCTAGTTGCTATCAAGAAACATTTCATGGTAGCAAATACTTTTTAAGCTGAATATTGATAAAATGCATCTCCTTTTCTGACCCATTTGTCTTATTCATAGGTTGAAAATAACTACAGGAGAGCGGAGACACTGTTCAATAATTTTAGCAAGACTAACCAAAGAGGGAAAGACTTGATTTCAAAGATACAAAATATTGTCATTAATATTAATGGTAAAAGTAACTGCTGTTCTTCTACATCATTGTGCTTTATTAATTCTGCTTTGTGCGGTCAGTTGTTTATTAAATCCTAGACTCGGTGCATTGTACAGTTCCCTGATTACTGAATCCATTATAAAAGTGGGCTTATGTGCAGTAAACGTAAATTGAATTATTGATGGGAAGCTAAGTCTGTGGCCTTATACTGTACAATATGTGAGAATCTGATTGAACAAATATGCAGCTTCCTTCTGAATCATTTACATCAATATTTTTTATGACTACTTTGTTTATATGCTACTTTCCCCCTCTATGAGCTCAAGGTAGCATGCATTGATCTCCTCTCCTCATGCTACCCATTCTAAAAACCTTGTGAATTAGATCAGAATGAGAGAGAGTGACTGCCTGAAGATTTCATGGCACAGAGGCAGCTTGAACCTGATTCCCCCACATCTTAGTCCATGTGACCAGCCCTACCCAGGCTTGCTACTTTAAAATCCCAGTCAATCATCTCCTGTTGCCAGGCAAAATTGGCTAGAGTTCCATCACAGTCCAACACTGCCCTACACTGTCTCTGTACATATTCTATGACAAGTATAGAATTTGCATTGTAAATGTTAGAACTCAAGAGGTCAAATAATTGTCCTGGGAATGCTGAACTGGCAGTGTCCTATGGAAAGCAAGAATATGTGTCCAGCCTGGCAGTCCTGACTTTAAATTACACACTTTGTATGTCAAATAAAATAAAATAAAACAATTCAAACCACCTCTATAGCTCTGCAACAACACAACTATAAAAGTGCCTTTCTCCTTTGATTTTTCTTTTTCTGTTGTAGTTCTTCTCAAACAAGCATCTGGTAACTCTGGAGATGGAATGCCTTTACCTTCAGGAGATGCTGCCAAAGAGCAGGCCCAGGCTCAGCAAATGGTGAATGAGATGAGAAGCCGCAATTTTGCCCAACAGCTAACAGAAGCAGAAAGGGAGAATGGAAGAGCCCAGAATCGTAAGAGCTAAAAAATATACAAAGATCCTGCATGATAGGAAAAACTGTTGTCTTATTTAGAGGTGCCATGTGGGGTTCTGAATAATTTGGATCTGCCTGTGTGTGTACAGTGGCAACGGAACAGCATACAGGGAATCCAGCAGTTGGGTCTGCCAAACATATCAGCTAGTTAACATGTTAAGCCTTTACATGTGTGGAGCTCTAGTTGTGGAAACTAATATGGCACTCTAACAAAGTGCTAACTGTGTGCCTGATAGCTTGCAGTCAGCACTTTGTCAGATTACAATGGCGGCTTCTGTTAGAGCTCCATGTAGGTATAGTTATAGACACTGAATAGAATACTGATTACCAACAGTTCTGTGGCTCAGATTTCTCCAACCTGATATTCTCCAGATGTGTGGGACGACCAGCCCCATCACCCCTCGCCAACATGATTGATGGAGAAATGAATGGTGATGTAACAAATACTTACAGGTTTTCTCATCCTGAACAAAAATTGTTACCTGCTAGGATATTTCTTCACTCTTGAGTGAAAACAAGACTAGCACTTCTTTTCTTTTTTTTTTGATCAGCAGCATTAGTAAACCAACAAACAAAACAAAACATTGGTATTTTTTCAGCAGCATTAGTAAACAAACAAAACAAAACAAACCTTTTTTTGAGCAAAAACTTCTATTTCACACAACAAATGTTGAAATGATTGTACAAATATATATTTTGTGTGACGTTCAGGGTTTTAAAATGCAAAATCCAAGGGTTGTGTATAAAACACAAGATTTTTGCACAAAATCCACTTCCTTTAATGTTTCACAGAAAAGTATCCAAAAGTGGGAAATACTCAGAAACTCTTGTATCATTGACCAGTGGAGAGAAAACATTCTAGATTTGTTTCTCTCATGTGTGCGGATATGATAGGTAAAGATTTACATCCCTAGAAAAGAGTAGGATGAGAGGCACAGGTTTGGAGGGCCAAAATATAGTAAAATGAGCATAAAATGTTTAGTGCAAAATGATTGTGCTATATGTGGGGAATCAGTTCCAAACCCCCCACCCCAAAGGTCACCAAAAACCCTCAGACATAGCAAACCCTATATCGGCGTGGGCAATTAATTTCTATAGGGGGGGGGCACATGAAAAAATCTGAACTGTGTTCAGGGGCCGAACCAACTTTGCTTAAAAATAAAATGAAACAATGATGTTATGATTGTTTTTATTTTAAACTTGTTAATCTTCACAAATACTAAAGAGGTTTTTTGCATTACGTTAAATAGCTATAAATGGTTTTGATGTCCAGCGGGCCAGACAGGAGCAGCTCGTGGGCCATATGTGGCCCTTGGGCTGCACTTTGCCCAGGTCTGCCCTGTATAGAGCATAGTCTCTGCTTCTCTCTAGTGGTCAGTTCTTGTAATACATCTTGGGGATGCATATTTTGGTGTGGGTATGTTATTTAATATTTTCAGGCAGTGGATAAGTGAAACCAGTTTATACAGCAATCCTACTGTAATCTGCGAAATTAGGGTATGTTTATTATAAAAAGACATTTGGAATTTAGGCATAATTAAGCAGGTGAATCAAATAATGTATGCTTATATTTATATACTTGTCAAACCACAGATGAGCTATCTAATTCATTCACCAATGACAGATTGATTTACAGTAGTACTTTAGATGGGGTGGCCTATGATCTGAGCATGGAAATGCTCCAGCACAAAATGGGGGTGCACATTTTCCTGCAGCATTGTGATGCTCTTCCTCAAGGAGATCCGATTTATTCTCATTTTGGCTTTGTCCATTCTAATTCTGTAGTACTGGAGCGTGTAAAGAATGAACTACAAAGCCACCAAGTGAAAAACCAGGAACTCATTAAAACTATAAGAGACTCATTAAATGGATATGAACTGAAACTCAGTGATCTTCGTGAATCTTTAGAAGAAGCAAAGGAACAAACCAAGATGGCTGAAAGTTTAAATGTAGAAAATAAAGGCCTCTTTGAAGATATTAAGGTACTAAAGTGTGCTGCTTATTACTGCTGTTTAAAAAGGACTAGGTGAATTTCTAAGGCCAAAATCCTACCGAATTTTCCAGGCACAATAGCGCAATAATCTTTTACCTTGACTGTTATCTGTCTCAAAATTATTCTGTGAAAGACCAATAGAATTAGATATGGTCGTATTCTTTTGCCATTTTATTTTTTAGAATTTTGATATTAACATTTAGTTTATTTGCAAAGACAGATGAGTTAACGTTGAATCATGCAGCTGGCCCATACCCATTCCTGAAAGAATCTGGAATTATATCAATACCAGGACAAGTAAACAATTTGTTCCATCCAGTCCAGCTTCTAGTTTTAGTATATAAACAAGAAATAATTAGTCATTCAATGAAATAAGTAATTGTTCAGAGGTTCAAAAACATATTGCGTACCTTTCTAGTTTTTCATGGTTGCCAGAGAAGGTTTTCTGGCAAAATAAAGTTATGAGGTATAAGTTATAAACATTCCACCCCACCCTGTTGTTGCAACAAAAACTTTGAAAAGTTATATATTGAGAAAGATCTCCAAGAATAAATACGCCAGTGAGCCTGGCCAGCAGCCATGTCAGCAGAAGAATTCTGGGTGCTGTCATCAAAGGCCCAAATCCAATTGCTTGTCCCAAGAAGAAAAGGGCCGTGGAATCAGCTGCTGAATAATGAGCCAACAGTTGGGCATATCAATGAATATAATCTGGCTGGGGCTACCAATTGGATGTAAGCTTGAAAAAATAACTTTTCTGAGCTCTGACCCCCAATTGACCTTGTTTAATTTGCTGGAAGCAGAATCTAGGGCAGGGAGGACAGCCCTACAATGATAGTGGTAGCGTTTTCAAAGAATTCATTTTCTCTTTATTTTCCTTGTTTAGGGAATAGGTTTGTATGGGGAGATATATTTTGCTTTGTGAGTGAAAGGATAGGATGGTTAATTACTTTTCATGTCAAGGAAATAACTAGAAAGGAAGGTGAATTTTATTTTAGCACTGGCAACAGAATGAGAGTCTCTGCTGTGTCCACAGCAGCAAGCTTGTTCAGGTGGTGTGGCAGTCACAGCTCTGTTCTCCAACTGAAAAGAACAGGCAGAGAGGTCATGAGGAATGTCTAGCAGGCTGTCACTACTCTGCCTCACTCTGTCTGATAGTAGAGGTGTTTCTAACAGGTACTGTAGAAGCTTCTAAGCTAGCAGCCTGGGGGAGAATATATTTCTCCTCTTCCATATGGCTCATCCTTTTCTCTTCATCTATGTTTTTACCTTTACCATGATTTTGAACAGCCCAGCTGCAATCCCATCATTAACAAGCTGCACCTTTTCCAAAATGGAACTTCTTGTTGGAACCAACATTTAAGTTGAGTAATGCCTCCAAGGGACGTGGTGGCGCTGCAGGTTAAACTGCAGAAGCCTCTGTGCTGTAAGGTCTGTAGATCTTCAGCTGTAAGATCGAATCCACATGACAGAGTGAGCGCCCATCGCTTGTCCCAGCTCCCGCCAACCTAGCGGTTCGAAAGCATGCAAATGCAAGTAGATCAATAGGGACCACCTCGGTGAGAAGGTAACAGCGTTCCGTGTCTAAGTCGCACTGGCCCTGTGACCACGGAGGATTGTCTTCAGACAAATGCTGGCTCTACGACTTGAAAACGGGGATGAGCACCGCCCCCTAGAGTCAAACAAATGGATAAAAATTGTCAAGGGGAACCTTTACCTTTACCTTTAATGCCTCCAAGTGGCTAAGCAGATGTTTGTGTTAGTTATATTAGTTATGGCTTTCCTACCCTGTACTATTAAACACATGTACAAACTCATCCTCACACAAATATCAGTAAGCAGCCTTATTTTACTTTATTTCATTTCATTTTTCAATTTTTTTTGTCAGAAACGAACTGAGGAAATGTCGAACCAACAAAATGACATCTTGGATCTTCTGAATTCTGCCGAAGCTTCAATGTCTCAGGCAAACAATGCGTTTGTATTGCTGCAGAAAAGTAAAGAGGTACTGAAGAAGAAATGCTATAATTCTCTGAAGAGATCAAAAACAAGTGTGTCATTGTAATGCAAATAAAAGCCAGTTTTCTAATAACGACTTGATTCTATAGGCAGTAAGAGCTACTCAGAAATGACAAGTTAAAAGAAAAACATGTTTTCTTCTCTATCTAATCTCCTTTGCTTAATCCTCAGTGCAGTGCTCAGAAGCACACAGACATCGGGATTTGTTTCAAAAGCTAAAGCACACAAAAGATAGAAAGCAATTTGTTTATTTATTGCAATTTTATATAATGTCTGAGTCACAGAACAAAAAAATAACATTTATCTTCAAACTGCAGGAATATGAACATTTAGCTGCCCAGTTGGATGGAGCAAGGAAGGATCTCAATGAAAAACTTCAGAGGCATTCTTTATCTGCCAACAAGGAACCTCTGGTGGTGAGAGCAGAAGAACATGCCAAGTTTTTACAAGACTTGGCAAGAAAGCTGGATGAGTATGTTTCCATTTCCACAGTTGAATAGCTTAAGAACACTTTGTGTTTGTTCATTGCATGCTAGGTGTACTGTGTGAAAGGTAAATCACAAAGGCAAAACAAGAAGAGCTTATTCTTTGTATGTAAGTGCTTGTTTAGTGTGTGTGTGTGTGTGTGTGTGTGTGTGTGTGTGTGTGTGTGTGTGTCTGTGTCTGTGTCTGTGTCTGTGTGTCTGTGTCTAGATTCCAGGTTTTGTCATCCTCAGCCAACATTTCATGGGCTATGGTAACTTAGTATGGTAGAAACTAGTCTTCAGAGGGCTAAATAAACCCCCATAGTTTGCATTCACAGAGACCATGAAGAAGAAACTGCTATACTAGGCTGTGTTCTTTTCCCCCAGTGTCTTGTAACTTCTAATGGTGAATTGCCATAAGATAAGAAATCTCCATGGGCATTATCTATTGCTTGCTGAGCTGCATGTCTCATTATGCAACCGATAATGCCTACTGAGATTCCATAACTTAACAGCAATTGTTCTACTAAACGTTTGCCTGCCGAGCCATGCAACTCGGGAGGCAGTAGATAATACCCATGGATATTTCTTAACTTATAGCAATTAACCACTATAAGGTATGCCTTTTGCATAACTCTGCAACAGGATTTTGCAGAGTATCCTGCTAGCTCTTTTCATGTAAGAATTTCTGAGCAAAAGTCAACAGAACATTCAAAATGTTCTCATGATGTACTCTCTGGATTGCTAGATTTTTGGCTGTTTTTTCTACAGGATCAAAAAGAATGTCAGCAATGATGAACTGGTTACCTGCTCTGTGGAAGCTGCTGGTGCTTACGACAACATTATTAATGCCATCAATGCAGCAGAGGCGGCAGCAAACCGAGCAGCGAGTGCAGCGAATTCAGCTTTATCTGTAAGCATGTTCCAAAATCATATCATAATGATCATTTTGCTCCTGAGCCACTGAAATTTTTGGTGTTCAAATTCCAGCATGTTGGCAGCTTGTGGCCCTTGAGATGGATTTTGCACTGGAACTCTGGCATGTCTTACTACTGAGTATGTTGGCTAGGGCTCGTGGCTGGTGCAGAAACATTTAGAAAGCCACCATTGCCTACCTCTGTTTTAGGAATAAGTTGGAAATGCCTAACTCAGAGAGGTAGCCTGTTAAGGTTACGTTAGTCCTGGAGGCAGCAAGACACTTGCCATCGAGCCGTGCCCACAGTTTATAGCCAGCAGAACAGTATTGTCTTGAATTTCAGGTGTGGTAGCTCCCACTTTCCCAGGGAAAGTCCAGAAATGCAGGGAGCTGTCTTGGCCCATATAAATAAAGTTTAGTGATTTTGATTTTCACACAGGTGTGGTCCATAAACCCACTGGATTGTAATTTCCCATTGCAGATTGAATTATGTCATTCTCCATCTTGATCCAATGAGCTAGCTCTAGCTAGTTGACCTCTAAAAAACCCAAGGTAGATAAGGGAAGTCTGAAGTCTGCCTAGCCTTGGCTTTAATTATGTGTTTAAAATCCTTTTGGTATCTTCTTCCTGCTTTCTGTGATCCTCACCTTACATGCCTATGCTTCATTTTCAGACAATGGAAAGAAAAGATCTAGCTGGAAGGGCCAAGAGACTGAAGACCAGCAGTGGCAACCTGCTAGATAAAGCACAGGCAGCACAAAAGACATTACAGGGTATCTTGGAAAATAAATAAATAAATAATGTGAAGATTGACAAAAGCATTGCAGGGGTTTGATACTATGTTCTAGATTTTGCCTGGTTAAGAGTGGTTCACAAATTTGATAGGTCCCAAAAAGGTTGTTGGGTTTGTTTGTTTTTTGGAAGATTATGTGAGGTTTTCATATGGGTCAGTTTAAAAGAAAGATGACATTGATGGTGGCAAACTTTATATGATGGCTTCTGTCCTTTAGACATTTCCTTGTGAATCAGCTCAGAGTCTTTGGAAGCAGACATAGACAATTCTGGTGGCTTGAGTGATCTAACCAGCCCACCTAAATCCCATTTTTCCAGCTTCAATTCCAAATTTTAATCAAGATGTGGGGGAAAAAAAAGCTTATATTCAGCTTGAAAGGGGAAGATAAGAGTTATCCAGAAATTGTTGAGAATGAAAGGAGCTAAGAGTATGTAAACAGAGAAATTTCTAAAGCCCGGAAACTGTATAAGGGGATTTTAAGAATACAAAAGATGGCCTTTCATGAATTAAACTAGAAGGTGGTGGGTGGTTTCTGTTTAAGATTATAGTCCTCCTTTCTCTTCCCCCCACCCAATTTTCTTTGTAATACACATGAAATCATGACAAGGGCTGCAGCTTCTTTCTCTCTGATTTAAATTCATGCAGTGAATCCATGTGATACTCTTATAAAAACTACTGGCAGCTGGGGGAGTAAGCTTTGGACTGCCTTACAGAGCAGGCTGTAACAGGAGAATGGGGGAACACAAACAAACATGCAACAAAATTTGAAACCTCTATTCCTACTTAGTCCTCAACTAGGTTTTTAAAAATTCTAATTAACATTTGTTGAGAGCATTACTGAAAATTTACTTTTCACCACCTCCTAATCCTTAAATCTTGTTTTTATGGGAAACCATTCTCTGGTTGCAGAATATTTCATTTTCAGTGTAAAATTCCATGTTTCTTAAATATACTCAGTACTCCTTCAGATGCAAAATTAAACATAAAGGCAGACAAATTAGAGATGAACTGTGCAAATACTATTGTTTCTTCTGACAAAAGAATGCCTAGAAACCAACGAGGCATTACAAGAAAGTACTGTAATACAATCCATAACTATAAGGTTGATTTACTCTAGATTATTTTACAGAAATCAATCCAGCTCTTAATGATTTAAAGAGCCAACTTGAGGATGTTGAGCATAAGAAAAATTTGATACAAGGAAATCTTACAGTCTTACAAAATGGCCTCCAGGGGATAAACAGAGGTAATTAATATAATGTTGAACTTACCAGTTTGTACTACTGTATACATATTTCTTTTATTATGATGATTATTAAATGATAGTCGTATTGTGCCTGGGAGGAGAAAGGAAAGAAATTGAAGAACAAAAACATGTAGTTGTGTGTATATTATTTGTTTATATAGATCAAAGTGGGTTGTGAGGGTAACATACATAACCATTTCCCCTCCCACAATTGGATTTTCTCTGACATATGTACCTCAGCAATCAGATTCACAGTTAAGCCCTTCCAGTGACAAAATAAATCAGGCTGGAATGCAAACTACAGTGGCTAGCAAAAACGTGTGGTGTGACTAACAAACTTCTATCACTTGAGGAACCACCTCTGCCAAAAACAAGATAATTATTGTTGACACTGAATTATACCCAACAACAGAGAGATAACTCTTTTTTACAGTTGAAATGAATAGACAAACTGACATTTATAATGAATCTTTGTACCTGTTTATCTTCCTGCTAGATGACATAGACAGCATAATCACAATTGCAAATAACATGGTGAAAAATGCCAATGATATTACTGCTAATGTGCTTGATGAACTGAACCCGATTAGAGCAGATGTAAAAAACATTGAAGATTTGTATAGAACCACACAGATTGCTGACTTCAACAGTGCTTTGAAAGATGCAAACAGTACAGGTGGGTGATTGATGCATCGATTCCAAGCTTTTGAAAGTGATACTAGCATTTTTTCCCTGATGTCTGCCTTGTATAAAAGAGAGAACTACTAGGCAATATGACTGTTGCTGAAAACTCATAATGTGCTCGTTCATCACTTAACAGAGAAGTTATGAAATTGGGTGTTGCTCAGAATTCCCAGGAAATAAAGTCCTTGATTAAGAGTATTTGACTGTAGACCGTTGGTATAAGATGTTAGGATAGTTATGAAGAATATTTCCAAGGTCTGCCCTCTACAGAATTCATCTCCTTAATGCCAAGTGTAACACTGTAGATATTTCCATGGCCCTCCCAGCAAGATACCATGGCAATGGAATGGGTTAAGGTGATATTGACATTAGGGAGCTGGCATATCGCACCCTTGTTTACATTGTAATTCCACCAGAGCTTGCACCAAATAAAATTTGTTAGGTAGCATAATGTGCTTTGCACAGTAAGACTCAAGGGTGTACTAGTGTTGTCCAAGGAGGAAATGTGAAGATTTTGTGATTTGTATTTGATATTTTGATTCATAATGTCTCTGTGTTTCTTCCTGCTTTTAAAAAATCCTTCCAACAGTAAACAATTTAACAAATATCCTCCCGGATCTGTTTAACAAGCTGACAAGCATCAACCAACAATTTACACCAATAGGCAACATATCAGAGAATATAAATCGCATCAGAGAGCTCATCCAACAAGCTAGAGATGCTGCAAACAAGGTCTGTGGCAGACTCTTACCTTGCCTCTTCTTTATTTTTTGCTAGGAGAGTCATCCAGAGCAGGTTTTCAGGTTATACTGGGGGAGGGGGCGCTTAGTGATTTTAATGGAAGCAATAGGATCCAGCAGAAGTTTATCATTAGATCCAGGCCTTTTGTGAGTTACTGATTGCTTATATTTAATTTATATTCTTTATAGGTTGCCATTCCCATGAGGTTTAATGGCAGTTCCGGGGTAGAGGTTCGAGCTCCTGACATTCTTGATGATCTGAAAGGCTATACTTCCCTTTCCTTGTTTCTTCAAAGACCTCTCCCAAGGTTGGACAGCCCACAAGAGACATCAGACATGTTTGTCATGTATTTGGGTGACAAAGATGTAAGCACTATTCCTGTATTCATCAATGGGGAAAATTGTGTGTAAGTGTGTGAGCCATCTCTAGTGAATCCGTAGAACCTGTGGAGAAGATATGTCCAATGGTCAGTTAGCAAGATTAAACATAATTCCCTGTGTTTTTGCAATAACCATTGTTCTCCTTTCTTTTACCCCCTTTTGTCTAGCCTAACCAATCTCTACCCTTTTCTCTATCCTTTTCCTTAGTTGTCTGTATCATTAAATGCTTTTGAAAATGCAAGTATCTAAACAAAAAAAAGTATAACATGTCAATCATCTCTCTCTCTCTCTCTCTCTCTCTCTCTCTCTCTGTCTTTCTTTGATATTACAGGCACCAATCTTTTGTTATATTTTTATTTTCTATTAGATACATGCCAATAACAGCTTCCAATTTAGAATGAATAGCAGCTTGGGGGCATTTTAGTTTGGAGCACTGTGCAAGTGGAAATGGTTTTGCAAAACAGCCCCCCTCCCAAAAAAAGCCCCACACCAAATCAATTCACTCTATGTTGCAAACCTGGTCTTGATTGCCCCTTTCTGTTTTCTCCTGTGATTTTTAAAAGAAAAAAAAAAGAACACAAAACAATTAACATTTATTTATTATTTGATTTACATACCACCCATTTGGCTACTAAGGCCACTCTGAGCGATTCACAACAAAATAAACCACAATAACAGAGTAAATAATTGCCATTGAACATAGCCACAATATAAAAATTAAATAAACACACCAACCAATTAACTAAAGAAGCAACATAAAAGTAACCAATTATTTTATTTATTTATTTATTTATTTATTTATTTATTTATTCATTCATTCATTCATTCATTCATTCATTCATTCATTCATTCATTCATTCGATTTTTACCCCGCCCCTCTAGACAGCGTCTACTTGAGGAGGCTTATATTGGTTAAAACACATCAAAAACATATATAAAAATACAATTCTTACAATTAATTTTAAACAACACATTTCCAAGATGGCAGGACTCAAGAAGAAGGAGAAAAAATCACTTAATTGGCTGGAGGGAAGGCCTGTTTAAATAACCAAGTTTTTAACTGGCTTTTGAAAACGCCCAGCGAGGGTGCCAGCTGAATTTCAGTAGGGAGAGTGTTCCACAGCCGAGGAGCCACCACCGAGAAGGCCCGGCTTCTTGTTTTTTCATTCTGGGCCTCCCTCGGCGTCAGGCCCCTCAGCCGGCCCTGCTGGCTGTGTCGGGTGATTCGGGTAGATCTGGGTGGGAGAAGACGATCTGCCAAATATTGAGGTCCCAAACAGTTTAGGGCTTTATATGTAATCATTAACACTTTGAAGCCGATGCCGAAATGGATGGGCAACCAGTGCAAGGCAGCCAGAGTGGGGGAGATGTGTTGATATTTTCTCACCCCACTAAGAAGCCTGGCTGCCGCATTCTGGACCACCTGAAGTTTCCGCATCAGCCTCAAAGGCAGCCCCTCGTAGAGTGCATTACAGTGGTCTAATCTCAAGATTACAAGCGCATGTACTAGAGTAGTGAGGGGCCCCCATCAAGATATGGTCGCAACTGGGCAATCTGCCGTAGATGAAAATAGGCGGAGCGGACCACGGACGCCACCTGGGTTTCCTATACCGCTAATGGAAGGGCCACCCACCTTCAAGACCTCCGTCTTGTCCGGGTTCAGCCTCAACCCATTCGACTGCATCCATTTCAGTACAGTCTCCAGGCTATGTGAAACTAAAACATAACATATGTGAAACTAAAACAATACCTCTCTTCCTTTTTCACAAACGTTTGCATTCAGATTTCCAAAGACTATATAGGCATGGCTGTTCGGGATGGGCATCTTATTTGTGCCTATAGCCTAGGAGGCAATGAAGCTGAAATAGAAGTGCCTGAATCTGTGTATCAGAGTGACACCAAAGAAGCAACTTTGGATTTTGTGAGGTTTGAAAGGTATGGACTTCTATAACAAAACCTATCCCAATCTTTTTCTGAACTTGTTTTTCAGAAAACTGTAACTTTTGTGTGTTCTTTTTCTCTCCTTTTCAGAGTTTACCAGTATGCTAAACTGCATTATACTAAAGCTGCAACCTCTGCTTCACCATCCAGCCTAGGACCTTTTGAGGAAAGCAGTGGAAATAGTCACACTCTCCTTAACCTGGAACCTGACAATGTGGTCTTCTATGTTGGAGGATACCCACCGGATTTTACAGTAATGTGTTTTTAAAGTACAGAAATATTATAATGAAACTTGGCGATGGAGTAATACTGTTTTTATACAGTTGCTTCATATAAAATAACTTGGCAATCATGTCCTATGGTTGAATGTACCTTATAGATTTTTTTTAAAAAATCCAATCCTATGGCAAGTGTTATACAGAAGAGATTTTTCACTAAGAAGCTGAATTTTTCAGCCTGTGCTCATATATTTTGCTTAATTTGTCCAGTTTCTGCTGGCTGCGCAAGATTTAGTACAGCTATAAAGTCCTTATTAGAACTGCGGAAGTTCTCATCAAGGGCTCCTGGGATGCTGCCATTTATTACTATTGTTATTTCCATTTTTAGCCTCACGATACACAGGTCTGCCACTATTGTTCTCCCGTCCTTATTTTTAACTTGCAAGCCCTGTGGGTTTGATTACGTTAAGAAAAACTGACGGATCCAAAGGTCACTTAGTAAGATTTGTTCCTGAATGGGGATTTGAATCTGGGTTCCTCTAGCTTTGTTTTCCTGCATTGCTTCTGAATTTGCAAAAATGAGCATGAAAAGAGCATAAATACTTGAAAAGATATAAATAAATAAATAAAATAAATGAATCATTTCAGTCCAACACTACTGTATACTCACCAATACAATGTCCTCAATGTCCCAGGTTATCTTTGCAACTCAATGGGCTAAACCCCTTTCTCCTTCCCTGTTTTAATCAGAAAGTGAGCTTTCCAGAATGTAGAATCCAGAATCTGGTTGCATGTACAGTAAATTGCTGGGCCTGTAGAGAGCAACCATACAAGGGTGAGCTGTCCCCCATATTGGTTGCAAGGCCTTATAGTATTTCTTGCTTCAGGGTGATTTCTATTTTAGTTTTCTGAGTATTGCAAATGATTTCTGTATTTGTTGAGCTACTTCTTTTGACTAAAACATGTTTTTGTTCTTACAGCCTCCTCGTACACTGCAATACCCTCATTATGAAGGCTGCATTGAACTAGACAGCTTAAATGAGAGAGTTTTCAGCCTGTACAATTTCAAAAGAACATTTAATCTCAATACTACTGAAGTGCAACCATGCAGAAGGTAAGAAATATATACTGGAAGCCATATTCATATTTGGAGTTTCATATCATATGAGCTCTCATCTCCTTTTAATCCCAGCTGAGGATGAATAGAACTGAGCAGCTCTGAAAACCTCAAAGGCCAGCTCCTGTTGTACAGTTCCCACCCAGCAACAGGGATGACAAATTGTTGCTGATTAGAATTTTCCTTTTGCAGTTCCCACCCAGCAACAGGGATGACATGATAGTCAGAAGCAAATTGTTGCTGATTAGAATTTTCCTTTTCAATTTTGCAGTGTATGCAACGATCTGCCACTGATGATGACATCATTCCTGTTTGTGCAGGCAGAGATGTGCAACAGGATACTGGTCCCAGTGTGGTTTTCTGTCACTTTGTACTAATATCTCCAGGAGCAGAGTGAAAGAATCCAGTGCATGTCATAATACTAAACTGACCTGAGTTCAGTAAGCCCCAGACATTGTCCCAAATATTACATATTAAAACCATGATCCAAGTGCCAATAATTTCTTCAGAGGACCATAGAGACAACCATTCCAGCACACATCTTGTACTATATGTGCATCTGATACACAATGAAACTCTACGCAGCAGAATTAAATTAGTGAGAAAGGTGCCTTGGGATATAGTGTTCACTCAATGACAATTTGGTTGTCTGTATGAGCATATTGTGCAATGATGCAAGGCAACCATCTGTGTAAGAATGAAGATTCGTTCTGTGAAGCCAAACCATATTTCCATGAATGACACCTTGGAAGAATTCACATGACCCTGCTGGGTGGGAATGAAATATGTGGTATTAACGAGGTGACAAGAGTATGTGTTTGGAATGAAATAGTTACATGCTTGCTTAATTTCAGACCTAAAGGTACCATTCCTGCTATCTCTGAGACGTGTAGCTTGGAATATCTCATCGTACCAATGAACTTAGTATAAAAAATTCTTGATATCCTGAACATGCCCATGGGATGGCAGTAGTTCTCATTTGCACATATCCTTATTACAGATACAAAGAACAATCTCCTAAAATCTATTTTGAAGGCACAGGTTATGCACATGTTAATGCTGTTCCACCAAATAAACTTTATATACGGTATGAGCAAACCATTCAGACAACATCAGATGAAGGCTTGGTGTTTTTTGCAGAAAACGAGGTAAGTAGAATACTTCCATCTGTGTCAAAAACTGGGTTATGGGAAGTGGGTAGAGAAACAAACTAAGAATTGTGAAAGTGACTGATATTAATAATATTTCTGATATTATGTGCAGTGGATAAGTAAATTTTAACTTTGACATTTATTCTTTTGAACAACAGTTGGAGCATAATTAGTTGCAAATATTCAAAAGCACAGCATTTCCCACATCTGTTAAGATAGTGTGTTGTATTGCTTGACAAATAATTGATTGCTAACATTTTAACAGCCACTTCTCTAATATTAGAGAAGAGATTCAAGAGGATCTGCGTCTGAGTTATTTTATAATTATAAGAGCAGTTCAGTCTACTGAAATAAAGCTATTTTTGATCCAGTCAGATTTATGATCCATTCAAATTCCTTCTTCAGCTAAGGAAGAAGGAATTCTATGCTAGCAATGTATCCAACATAAGTTAGCAAAAAATTAATTTGCCCACAATCAAATACTTGACAGGCTGAGGATACTAAATGACTGCTCAAAATGAAGTCCAACGTGTTTATCAGTGTTGCCTGTCAGAACCTGCTAATGACAACTGACTCTCCCAGGAGTCCTACAAAGATTTATAGACCTTTGAGTCAGTGAACAAATTCAATGTTTCCTCATAGCTGACATTATCCCAGTAGAGGATTAATCGCAGAATGAAACCAGACCATCAGTGATAAGCTTTTGCAAACTTGTCTGATTATAAGTGTCTTCATTGTTGCAGTAAGCTTTTGCAAACTTGTCTGGGTATCTGATTATAAGTGTCTTCATTGTTGCAGTAATTCCAAGCAACTCCAAAACGTGTTAATTTTGTGCAAGTGCTATGTATTTACATCATTTCTAGAATCTATGCTTTAAAACATAACATCCAAAAAATATCAAAGACAGTCTTATGGTTGCAAAGAAAAATTATAGGCACACATGCTTAAAATGTATAAAAATTGAACTTAAGCTTTAGACAAATACTTGTCAGAAAATACATCTCAGTTGTAAGCTCATAGCTATACAAAGTCCAGACAAGAACTTTAATCATGTTAGAATCGAAAATACAAAAGCATTTAAAACAGTTACTTATAGCCTACAAAGGGAGAGAATACATCTCTTTAATATCTCATTTAAAAGTAAAAAGCAATATAATTCCGAAACTTTAAAAACTTTTTAAAATATACATTAAAGAATATCAGAGTTCTTACAATAAGAAAATATAAGATGAAAAGCATTTTTTAAAGCTCTAAGCTTGTTGTTAACACAGAGGAAAATATTTTCTCACCAAGCCTTTAGCCAATTAGAATGAATAGCTATATTATGTCCATTATTATCTCCTGGCCACTCTCAGACCATCAGCGAGACAAAACTCGTCCTTTCTGCTCCCTTCAGATAAAATTTCTCTCCATGTATGTCAGTGTGAGAATGCTCACAGTTTATAGCCTAGTTACCATGTAATTAAAACAAACTTCATCAGAATGTTGACATCAGCCATTGAGAAGCTCAAATGTTGAAGACCACAGGCTCCTCCTAGACCAAGCTCAGCTCAGCTCCTTTCATCTTCAAGGCCTTTTCAAAATCCATCCTTCCTTGAGCTAGTGCTTGTTAGAATGATATAATTTATTGGCAATACCACTGGGACAGTACAATACGCATGCATATCACATCAATTAATATTACAGAATTTATATTCATTTATACCTTCCTCAAAACTCAGTTACTATTAATTATGAAGCTAAAGCCTTATCAAACAAATGACAATTTTCTTTCTCATCTTTACTTGCTTATTATTAAACAAACTACTGTACTTGAAATAACGTTCATCCTTTTCTCTTTTTATAGTATTCTGTAAAAGCTTTTCTTTTAGAATATATTGTTGTTCTTATTTGCTTAACACATATTTCCATATCTATTTTGTGGTATTTCTTCGTTAATTAATATTATAGGTACTAGGTAATATTATAACAGAAGCGGCAGTTTAAAATGCAGTTCCATTTTGTTCTGTTGTCTCTGTTTCACATACATAAGTGCTTAGTTGTTTCCTTTTTTCACTGCGAAAACTGGCACGACACTGAATGAGCTATTTCTACCTTGTTATTTTATCAGTAATGTTTTGTACCAAAAACAAGTGGCTGTTTTGTGAACAATATCCCCAGCTGTAGTTTTTCAACAATGCTTTCACTTTTAATGCATCTCGATGTTCATTGTTAAGGCACCACTTCTGCACCCCATAAATTCAAATTTTTTAACTCTTATGAGGCCCACGTCCCTGTTTATCAGTGTTGCTTTTTCAGGCTATTTTATAGTTGTGGCCCTCTTATTGCAGAGTGGACAGAGGCCCATGCAATTGTACAGAAAGTTAGTGACAGATGAAGGACTGAATTGTAGGAAGAAGTTGACCAGTCGTCTTTGGCCAAACAAATGCATTAATATTATGCCAGGCCAAGTAACTTAAAGGCCCCCTGTTACACACCAATGATGATAGGACTGGTATTGTGTGTCTGTGTACCTTTAAGTACCTGAAAAAGGCTCTGCACCATGAGTGCCCATTCTGAAAGAGAGTGAAATGGTGGAAGAAGGGCCAGTTCTTTGAAATTCCTCTATTCAGTTTTGACATGCTGCTCAGTTTTAGTTTCATCTGTGCATTTCCTTCTCTGTAGTCATATTGATTATTAGCAAACAAATATGCTAATTTCATTATATTATGTAATGCATCTATTCTGAGTTGCAGGACAAATTCATCAGTCTGAGGATTGAAAAAGGTCATCTAGTATTCAGATATAAAGTTGACTCAAAGCCTCCAGAAGAAATCAGAAGCAACACAGTCATAAACAATGGCATGGATCAACTAGTAAGTTTCTGTTCCCCAAACCAGAAATCATAATAGGTAACATGTATAACAGAAAATATCCACTAATAGACATCTTTAACTATTGTAAATATTCCTAGTTTGCATCTCCTAGCTGTTTTGTATTTCAGAGAAGTACATTTATTTACTGTACTTAGACGTCTGGAGGTGGAACAACTGAACAAGTTGAAGAACAAGGATACACAACATGGGCCCATATGAGATCTTCATGCCTATTTATGCAGCCCCTAGAGCCTGCTCAACTGTACTGCTAAAATGTGTTGAACAGACAAGTGTTCCACTGAAATTAGTAGGGCATATTTCCAAGCAACTGGAATTATACAGAGCCCACACCAGGAATTTCACATTTGCCTTTGCAAGAAGAAAGTCCTTTGTTATAACTTGAAGTCAGAATTGAGAATAGTGCTGTATTTTATTGATATTTCCAGCTGTACATGTGGACAGTCTCCTCTTCATAGGAGTGAACCAATAACCAGTGTTTACGCAAGCTTACCACATAGTCAGACACAGCAAGAAACCCTGGGTCATAAATGCTGAGGAAAGCCCACTAGACTTGTGCCAATGGCGTACATGTGGACTCTTCATAGGAGTGAACCAAATAACCAGTGTTTACACAAGCTTGCCACATAGTCAGACACAGCAAGAAATCTTGGGTCATAAATGCTGAAAGGAAAGCCCACTAGACTTGTGCCAATGGCCATTGAATGGAAAACTCTTTGTAAGGTTTTCTCCATTTTTATCTTGCTTTGTTATTCCTGCAATGATATACCATCTTACTGTTGCTGTTGTTTCTGAACTTGTATCCCTCCCCACCAAAATTGAAGTTTCTTTATTAGAATTAGTTGTGAGCTGTTTTGAGAAATGTATGGATCAAAAGAGATAGAATAATCAATACATTTGGTATTGACTTGTTAATTAAGTGAATGTTAACATGGTCATAAAAATAGTGTTTCTGTTAGGCTGATTTTAATTCTTCTTGTTTTCTTCATTTCAGGTTGTTTTACACATTGCTCTACAACAGTATACTTTGATAGATAAGTCTAGAGTGCAAGCAAATACAAGTACATTTAACTTCAATTCCTATTACTTGGGGGGAATCCCAACCTCTCTAAGAGAACGGTAAGTTGCAGCAATCATGAGGATAAGCATTCATGTCTGATTTTGAGTTTTACAGATGAAGATCAGGCTGTTGCAATTCGTGGTCTAGCAAGCTGAATGTAATCACCATCTGTGTGTTGTGATATAGCAGGGGAACGTTGCCCCTCCTTGTAGCTGTTGCCTGGTATGGACGTTGCCAGCCTTCTGAAAGGCTGCAGTGTATGGTTGCTGGGCTACATATTGCTTGGTAGGTCAAGAGTTATGCAAGCCAAATGTAGATTAAAATAAAGAGGAGAGGGTCAGTGATCAAGTATTCTTCTTCTCATCATGATTGAAATGGATTTTTTTCTTCCTATAGGAAGAATATAAGAAACTGCCTTATACTGTGGGGACCATTGTTCATTATCTTGGCACTAACTGGCACTGGCTCTCCAGGAGGTTTTCCATTCCATACCTGGAGATGCCAGAGAGTGAATCTTGAATGTATATACTTTTAATAAGCCATGCCTTTCCTTGCTGAGTAAAATACATTTCTTGCCCCTTCTCAAGTGATCTTAGTTATTTATTTATTCGATTTATACCCTGCCCTCCTTCCCAAGTGATCTTTCAGGGAAACACAAACAATGGTGTAAATATTAATATCATTTAAAGTGACAGTGACATGATTACATTTTCCTTTATCAGCACTTTCACATGAGAAGGCATTACACTCTTGATGTTTTCTGGAAAACATCACAGCTTTCCAAAATTGTCTTGTGATGTAACTGCATTAGATCTTGCCTCTTTATTTCTTTGTGAGCTGTCTTGGGAGTGCTGACGGATATGGAAAGAATTTGATACTTTTTTTTAGAAAACATAAATATTCTCCAAAGGGCTACATTATTAACAAAAATAAATTAAATACATTTTGAAAAAATGAAAATTTAGTGCATCCTTATCCCTTCCTGTCCTGTACCAAAAATAATGGTTTGAATCCTATTGGTAATTTGTATGACTATATGTGAAATCACACCAGTTGCAGTGGCAAGTTGCCGCCCATTAATGAGGGGCTGGTTACCTTTCCTGTTATGTAGCTAGTTATGGTATGGGAATGCAACCAGAAATATGACTGGCATTTTGTTAATTAACCATAATGCACTGCTGCAACTTAAAAATGTACATAATGGTTATGTAAATCATCAGTAACTGATAATTCTGGACAGTAACTAATTAAAAACACTGTGCAATACATCTGCAACATATACTGTATATGCAAATTCAAATAATTACGTGAGCCTTGAAAATAAGGTATCAACATAGTGTTTTACAACTAGATCCTCATAAGCAGAGCTAAAATTGATAGGTGATACGAATACATTTGAGATTTACATTGTTTCTGTGTGTGCTTTGTTGAATATGCTATGCATGTATGATAATATTAAGAACAAGGGGAGAGCCATATTAGATCTCTGTTCACCCCCCACGCCATGGGTGAGACTCTGTAGCTAGCCCACAACCAGGAGGGCAACATCTCTTTTTGTACCATTGTTTCCCAGGAATTTGTAACTGCCATCATGGTTTGCATTACTGTAATTGCCTTTTCCTCCATCATTTTGTATAACCTCCTTTTAAAGGAGCCATCTGAGTAGCCCCCTGTCATTTCCAACTTTCTGTGGAAGTGAATTTCATAGTTTCACTTGTGCAAGGAAATAATTCATTTTCTCTGTCCTGAATATATCACCACTCAGCCTCATTTATGATCCCAGATTCTAGTGGTATCTGACAGGGAGAAAACAGCTAGTCACTTTCTTCATAATGTGTAAATGTCCATCATGTTGTCAAGAGCTTTTACCTCAGAAAAATAATCTTAGGGGCAAGAGGAATAGGAAAGGCTGTTTATTACACTAGCAGAGAAAACATACCAACACAGAAATGTATAATTATGGAGCCCAGAATAATGACTTACAGGTAGACTTTTATTTAAAAAAACAAACAAAAACTAATAAAAATATAAAGAAACAACTCTTCAAAGTAAGCATAGCTCAGGGTGTAGCTTAAAATGATACATTTAGTTATTTATTTATTTATTCGATTTATACCCTGCCCCCCTAGACAGCATCTCCTCTATTTCTTAGCCAGCTTGAGATGAGCTTTGTCTTTTCTGTCCCTAGCACCAGAAAGTGACATGGTAGTGTTAACTGTTTTATTTGCTTACAGCAGAGAAAATACAGAGAGCATGTTTATGATAGTACACTTTGCTTTTTCATGCATTGTGCTTACAAGTTTTCAGTAAGACATTAGCTATACATTAATACACTATTTATATTCATTGGTATAATACTGAGTATGCTAATGAGGTTAAATGAGGAGGAACCCCTCAATGTCCCTACTTAGTCACTGTTTTTTTCTAAACTAAAATAGCTCAGAAATTACAGCTTTCATCATTGGTTCTCTCTCCTTCTTCACTCATCAGCAGGCAAGGGAAGAAGGGAGGAGTTACTGCCTCTCTTTACATCATTCTCCCTTTCATCTCCACCTACTTGCACTTCCTTTTCAAATGTAGAAGGTAAAATGGTGCCTTGAATGTATGCACTAATTCAATGCATACTTGACGCAGAACATATACTGTCTTTCATTTTAGCTTTCATTTCTGTAATATAGAAATTTACAACATGGGCAGTATATTCTGCATTATTTCAATCCCTGTATTTAAATCTCAGTTGTTCTTCTCTTTGTATTGTGAAAGCACAATGCAGCATGGAGGGTCAATGGACACAATGCAGATTTGATAGCAAGAGCCTAAGGCTATGATCCTTTTCCACCCATGAAGTTCTATGGGTGATCTATGCCAAGCCACAATCTCTTAACATCATTTGAATTTGAAAGTTGCTATTCTAGAGAAGAAAAATTACAGAATAAGAAACCAGAGGGAAACAGCTGAGACATAAGCTTATTATCCATCTCACTGGATTAAATATTAGTCAAGGAATCTTAAGCCATTGCCAAATTTTAAATACTACAATAATTATGTTATCTGCTGTTATGTTTTCCTTCCCAACTAACTACAGCCACCATTAGAGAGCAAGTTTCAAAGATATAACCAGTGATTCTTAACTCATTAACACATGTTGTTTTTGCTGCTGTTTCCTTTAACCACTGGCAACATTCCCTCTAACTGCTATCCCTGCTGCTCAGGAGGCTCCCCTGTCTCTGTGCAGGTGGCGGGGTTTCATCCAAAATCTGGAAGTAAACAGGCATCAACTGCAGATGCTGCTGCGTGCTGCTAATGGAGCTCTGCACGCCTATGAACCTTAGAGGGAATGTTGGTCACTAGTCACTGTTGCTGTTTACCGAACACATCTTCAAAAGAAAAGAACTGAATGCCAAACAGGGTTATTAAATCATTACTAGGTGTGAAATGCAACTTGAGTCTACCAACTATTACATTACTTTACCTTAGAACTTCATATGAATGTTTTGCTGTGTAGTCTCTGTATTTTCACTCTAATATCTAAAGAATTATATTTGTTCCACATTAAATTAATCTTTAATGTCCACAACATCTTTGTGTGTGTGTGTTTTTTTTTTTTTTACATCTAAAGAAGTAGATTTGTTCCACATTAAATTAGTCTTTAATGTCCACAACATCTTTGTGTTTTTTTGCTTTTGTTTTGTTTTGTGTTTCTTGTTGATCTATCTCTTAACATCAGCTATTGAGTTATTGTGAAGATAAGTGAAAAAAGACAGTGGGAGGCAATTCTGTACAGCAGAAAAAGGCAGTAGCAATCAGCTACAACAGCAAGAAAGACCATGTCTGTTCTCATTGTTGTTTTTATTTCCGGACACAGCTTCAGCATATCCACACCACCATTTCGTGGATGCATGATGAACTGGAGAACTTCATTTGAGTCTTCTCCTACCTTCTCTGAGACATTTGGTGTCAGCAGAAAATGTCCTGATGATTGGAAGGTAAGTTTTTTATTACAGCTGCTTTCTGTACAAAACCAAGACCAAAATCCAGCTGGAGAAAAACTGCATGTGGAATGGCAATTGCACAGTAGCTTTTTCCCTCCGTGTGACTGAAGGTAAAACTGGGAACACACATGATTTTGCTACTAATGCATGATCAGAAACACAAAGGAGAATATACTGGAGATAGAGAATGCTTATGTGGTTGCTGTTAAACAATTACATATGTAAGTAGAATTCTGCTTTTCAGTTCAAACATGATTGACATTTCGTAAAAGCCATTAAAAAAGTGGCATAGGGCATGCTGATCTTCTATGCAGTATGATTTATGACCCTAATATTACTCTGGAGTTTATAGGACTCATCGCCATGTCTGAGATCTATTAATTCAGCTTCTAGATATTAGAGTAGATGCCAGGAAAGCAGAACTGATTCTTATTTTCTATAAGAGAAAAGTCATTCATTCTATGTTTGTTTTTAGCTTGTGAGAACAGCAACATTTTCAAAGAATGGAGTACTTGGTTTAAGTGATGATGGTTTCCCATTTCCCAATGATTTCCAAGTGGGATTTGGCTTTCACACATTGGCACCTGATGGAACGTTGTTAAATTACGACTTAAGGGTATGAAACATTTATTTGTTTTGTTTCCTGTTCAAGTGCAGTCAAATTGCTTTGCTTCCACATTCAACATCCTTATAAACAAAACAAAAAAAAAATGAAATTTTGAATGTTTGACTTCTTTTGGTTTTGTAGCCTGATATACTGACTGTTCTTCTGAGAAATGGCTCTATAACTGTAAGGATAAGTGATGAAGAAAGGCAGTCTATCAAGAGATATGGAGATGGTTCAATGCACTATGTGACAGTGATGAAAGAAGGTGACACGTAAGTCCAGTATTTCAGTTATGGGACAGAGTGAATGTTTTGTTGGAGCAGCATTTGAAAGCATAGAGAATTTTTTGTTATTTTATTATTTGAATTTATGTTTAGTTGAACAAAATCTAGATCAGTGGTTCCCAGCCCTAACCCAGGTGTTCTTGGACTGCAGTTCCCAGATGCCTTCACCACCAGCAAAAAACTGATGACTTTAGTCAAGCAGTTGCAAAGGCAATTGAAGGATGTGAACATGCTCAAAAAGAACAGATTTCCTCTCCAGAAATTGAGAAAATTCTCACCCTGGATGGTGACATCACCCCAGTCATTAATTGGTTGAGTAGAGTGATTAAATGTACCCCATTTGGATAATGGGTTTCTTATTATGAAATTATTCTTGAAAAAAATTCAGAGGTAAAGCAATTGATAGTGTATTGAAAACTTGGGAGTTAATCTTTGTTCTGTTTTAGGTAGTAAATTTGAAGGACACTGATTTTTGCATTCAGAATGTTACAATTTTTTCGCAGTAAACTATAACTGAAAATAATGTTTTTAAAAAACAAGCTTTATTTCCATATACTCATAGCCCAAGCAATTGGGAAGATAACAGGTGGCATTTTGAGTTGCTTCAAACTCCACCTTAGTTTTAAGCATGAATCGGAGACAATGGTTGAAACAAACTCCCATCTGTTTCTTTTCTTTCCGCTTGATGGACTGTTCATCCAAGCAGCTTGTTTTACATTTACTGTGATTATGAGCATAGGAATGTGATGGTGCTGTGGGTTAAATCACAGAAACCTCTGTGCTGCAATGTTGGAAGACCAGCAGTTGTAAGATCGAGCTCCCGTTGCTTGTTCCAGCTCCTGCCAACCTAGCAGTTCAAAAGCATGTAAAAATGCAAGTAGATAAATAGGTAGCACCATGGTGGGAAGGTAACAGCGTTCTGTAGCTAGTCACACTGGCCACATGACCACAGAAACTGTCTACGGACAAACACTGGCTCTACGGCTTGGAAATGGGGATGAGCACTGCACCCTAGAGTCAGACACAACTGGACTAAATGTCAAGGGGAACCTTGACCTTTTAATGAGCATTGAATTTAAGAGTACAAAGACTTTCTAACAGAGATGGGCACAAACCTCGGAGGTTAGATGCCATGCCTTCCCTTCCCCCAATTCCCCAGCCAATGATCCACTCACCAGTTGGAGTGCGCTCTTCTCCTCTTTCTCTTTGGATCAGTCCCCAGCAGGAACACAGGGTTGCCTCTCCTGCCTCCTTGTCTGAGTGGGCGATCAGCCAAGGAGGTGGGGCAGGGAAGCCTATGATATTACCAGAGACTGGTTGAATAGCTGACAGGAAGGAGGAGTGTGCATTGGCTGGTGAGTGGGGGATCCAGCCAGGTTGGCAGGGGAAGGGAAAGTGTGGCACATGTGGTGCCATGCGTATGAACTGGCACAAACCTCTAAACCGAGGTTCATGCCGATCTCTACTTTCTAATCTTCTTTGTCAGATTTCAGAGGCATTTCCCATTTGTGTGCTGAGTGCTTCCCTCTCAAACAAGGAAATGGAGAGAATCTTATACACATGAGATTTTCCAAAGAGACTAAAACTGCTAGAGCTCAGCAAGCACATCCAAATTGATATATTGATTTTCTCTATGCATATTTGATGGATGGATGTTATTAGCCTTCCTTCTACACATCTTCTTTGTGTTTATCTAATCTAAAATATATCCACATATTTTTGATGTTGCTAGGAAGCTAGGAATTGTGACAATTTGTTGATATTTGTCCATGTTATAGAAAATAGAGTGAATTGTAAGATCATGCATCTTTTGTGAAGACCATGTCTTTTCTTTTTTTAGTATTTGTGTGGTAGGGCAGGAAGAACTGTTAGTGATCAGATTCCAGTGACACTGATTTCATTTGACAGTCATTATAATCGTATCTATAACCAGTTGGTTGGATTTTCCATTACTGCTTTGTCATTACAACTGATGTAATTTCGCCCCTCGAATATTAGCGACTAGAAGGCAACCTATGCAGAATAATCCTATCCTATGAGAACCATCTAGCCCTTGAATTCCCCATGTATGAGACACTAAGAGGGCTTGTCTACATTTACATTTGCCCCCCAATAAGCTCCATTTTAAATTGATTTGATTTAAATCACATGACTATTTTAAATGCTATTTGGATTCCCACCTGGGAGATTGCCAGCAACAGAAGTCCCAATGTGGGGTTGTGTGTTTGAGTCTGTCCCCCCCCCCAAAAAAAAGCATAGAGACAGTCAGTAATATGTAATAAATAGGATGCATTCTGCTGATCAAGTCCTCCCCTTCTCTCCGCCTCCCAAAGACCAGCAAAAGCATTCTTGAAGGGGTAGAAGCAGCTAATCTTTTTACAAACAACTTTCTGGCACAGCAGTTTGCAGCAACAGAGGCGTACATATGCAAAAATGAATAAAATAAGTTGAGTTTCACATGCGTACTATTTTAACACTCTAGCAGAACGTGGTGACGCAAAAAGGGACATGGTGGCGCTGCGGGCTAAACCGCAGAAGCCTGTGCTGCAGGGTCAGAAGACCAAGCAGTCGTAAGATCGTCCCCCCCCCCAAAAAAAAAGCATAGAGACAGTCAGTAAAATGTAATAAATAGGATGCATTCTGCTGAACAAGTCCTCCCCTTCTCTCCACCTCCCAAAGACCAGCAAAAGCATTCTTGAAGGGGTAGAAGCAGCCAATCTTTTCACAAACAACTTTCTGGCACAGCAGTTTGCAGCAACAGAGGTGTACATATGCAAAAATGAATAAAATAAGTTGAGTTTCACATGTGTACTATTTTAAACAACACTCTAGCAGAAGAGTATTTTAGCTCACTTTCCACCTATAAAACACCCTTCCCTGGCAAAGCAATCTGAGCTGGTATTTGCATAAAGGAGACACTTTTTAAAGCATTGATTCATTTGAAGTTTGATACGTAGCATTTTAGCTCGCTTTCCACCTATAAAACACACTTCCCTGGCAAAGCAATCTGAGCTGGTATTTGCATAAAGGAGACACTTTTTAAAGCATTGATTCATTTGAAGTTTGTTGATACGTTTTAAATGTTTCTTTTCCCTGTGTAGTCACAGCCTGAGATAAGATTTACTTCCAGTGTTTTTTCATGTACAGTATTAGTTAAATATAATTGCTTGCCCTAAGATAATGTATGTATGAGATTTTAGGTCAATTTTTAATACACTTGTTCAGCCATGGCAATCAAGCACATCGCTTCCATGGGTTCTTTCATTATTCACTGAAAATAGTGAACTGAAATTTATGAAAGGAAAGTGGCAATGTCAGGTTGGGCCTCACTAACTCCTTCAACTTAAAGCAAGTTTTGTTTTCCTGTTATATTGTAGAAGGGAAACTCTGTTGTTTGCTTATGCCTAGGAAATAGCAATACTGTTAAGAGCTACAAGCTAGACAGCAGCATTGGTATTCTAAGTCTTTCTTGTACACACCATTTTCACAGATACTGCTTACATGCATACAGATTTTGCATGCAGAATGCAAATTCTTGTACATGGAAAGCTTTTGCCTAGTAATGGTCCAAGGAAAAAAAGAAAAATGAGGGACTCTGCTGAACTCAATCTATGTATCCTGTTGATTAAATTATTCAAGTTTTGTTTTCCTGTTATATTGTAGAAGGAAAAGGCTGTGCTTGAAATAATAATAATTTACACATTTGGGATACCATCTCTTGAAAATACTCAGTCATCATGCACCAGGAAGAGAACAATTGCCTCCATGTTGTAGAATGCTGTCTTTTTGGATGTTAATTGCTAGCCTTATTTTGGAGGCAGGGAGAAGTGGTTTTGTTCTTATAAGCACAACCCTTCTGTTAAGAACTGAGACGAGATTTGAAGACCTGTCTGCTACAAAATTAGGCTTATCTTACACAGTTGCTTAAAGGACATTCTTAAAAACTGATAAACAAATATTACAAATAAATAAGTATCAGAACTTGGAAAAGTTGCTCTTTTGGATTACAAACCATATAATTCACCAGCCAGGTGGGAGATTTAGGGAACTATAGTCCAAAAATAATAATAACTTTCCCAAATCCTAGTAAATATGTAGATATAATACATTCTGGGGGAGAAGGCCATCTGAGGCTACCAGTCTGGATGGCTGTCTGTCGTATCCACTGTTATAGTGTGCATGTATGTATCAGCTGCTGAAGAATATGAGACATAGGGTGCAGTTGCACCCATGTCCTGCTTACAGGCTTCTCACAGACAATTGGTTGGCTATTGAGTCAACAGAATGTTGGACAACTTGGGCCTTTGATTTGATCCAGCCTGACTCTTCATATGTTCTCATATCTTAATAGCTTTGTGCTGAAATTTGTATTCAGGTTTCTTTTTTTTTTCCACTCCAGACTTAGGTTGCTGGTTGATGACGTGCTTGAGTCAACAGTAGTTGAAACACGTCCAATAGTTGGAAGGAAAACACTGAGTCGACCAATAGACATTGGTGGCCGTAATTTTGAAGGTTGCATTTCCAATGTCTTTATTCAAAGGTAAACACATTATAACATTTTTATTTACCGGCACTCATATGTTTACTACAGCAGCTTATTAAATGTTCCAGCATTAACAGAACATGATCTGTTTCATCACAAACCCCGTAGTGTTTATAAATGATCAAAACAGTACAGTGGGGTCTTGACTTGAGAACTTAATCCGTATTGGAAGGTGATTCTCAAGTCAAAAAGTCTGTAAGTCAAGTCTCCATTGACCTACAGTGCATTGAAAACCGATTGTGGTGTTTATAAATGATCAAAACAGTATAATAAGAGCTTGAGTAATGCCTTTTGAGGTGAGGTTATTGAGAAGAATTTTGTATATCTGCAATTGAAAATAGAAATCCTACTATGTAATACCTGAAAAAGGCAATGCTATGTTTTGTAGAATTTGAGCCAGCCTTCTGTCTGTATTGACTTGCATTCTCAGTCTCCGATGTATAAGGCTTCCGTATTCTAGTGCTCCCAATCTGGATGTCCTAATTTGCATTATATATACATTTGTACAATATGTACGTTTTCTTATTATGCAAATCAGGTGCATTAATATTGTCAAGAACAAAATATACTAGTAGAAAAAATATGATTATTAATACACATTGGGGTTTGAATCCACCCATTCATTTTTTTCAGCAACAGGCTGCAATCTTTTACCTGCTATAGACCTAAGTGCAACTTAAGTCATTACTGATGACTTATTACTGATGACTTGTTTATATACATTGTATAAGAATGATTGTTAAGTCAGATTCAAGTTTATTCCCTTGAAACAGGCAGGACTCTGCAAGTGAAAAGAAGCACCTCATAGAGAGGAGCAGCTGAGATACCTTTTTTCTGAGAAAGCAGCTGAAATAAGCCAAGTATATCGCTGAATGCTTTTCCTCTCTCACTGTATTACATTCAGTATGCCAGCTGATACATTTGAAGGTGGATCAACACGCCAATACAAAATAAATTTAGCCTCGGGGGGGGGATGTTTGTAAGGCAGCTGTGCCAAAAATAGTGACTTCTGAATGAAGGAACCCGCATTTTGAAATTGTACATTAGCAAATCTCAGTTAAACAGATTGCCATTGGCCATGGTGGCATGCTTTTGCTTATCTATATTACAGATCAGGACAGTTTCCTCAGATTCAAAATCTAACAGATTACATTGAGAAGACTGATGTGTCCTTGGGATTCTGTATGATAAAGAAACAGTCACAGCTGATGCTGCTGAAAGAATTAACAGATGAATACAAGACATTGAAGGTCAGAGTTATGTTAAGAAAAAGGAAAATAAATAATCCTGAATCTGTAAATCCAGCAAAATATAGTTTGAATTGTGTTTTAAGAGGCAGCCACTTGCCGGGACAGCTTCACATTCATTCAGTAACTAAAACCCAAGCCAAATGGAGCCTCTGCTGAATGTAGGCCTTCCAGGGAAACCCGCTATCTGCCCAAGGCAGAAACTACACATTTACAGTAACCTACAACAAAACTGAAACACATGTCCCGTTTTAACGGGATCCCTCACATTAAAGCATGACGTGTCATACCACCTGCCTGTGCTGGGAGGCTTCCGAGCCAGTGACAGAGCCAGGGTTGGGTCAGCCACTCAACATGTTGTGGAAACAAGGCTGCTGGAGCTGTCCCCCGATGGACAGAATCATGGTTGCCAGCCAGCCAATGGTGAGCTAGCAGGGAAGTCTTCCAGCACTGGCTGGTCGATGGTGTCATGTTGACGTTTTCACCGCATGTCAAGTGTGCAAGGTCTCAGCTGCTGACCTGATCCTGGCACTGTCAGTAACTGAGAAGTCTCCCAGCAGTGGCTCGCTGGCAACAGAAGCTGGAATATAGTTTTTTAAAGTGCTGATTGGTGCCATTTTAAAACTGCAGTAGGGTTTGCATCTTGTGCAACAACAGTAGTTACGCAAATTACATACAGTTTTTCCTCACAGTATAGCTATCCCAAGCATCTCATTGCCTTTATGGCACCTGCCTTGTTTGCCTTCCTTTTCCAGAGGTGTGCAAACAACTCTAGCCTGGATAAAATACATTTTGAAATGTTAATGTTACCCTCCTCTTTATAGTATTCTGGAAACGATTTGTATCTGTTGACAAGAAATGAAATAATTTTAGATCAACTTGAATAAAAGGTACACAGAAAAGTATAGAAAGGCCCTAATTCTATCACTCTTTTCTGCCAATTTCAGAAACTGAGAATGAGGCACCCGAATATAGGATTCAACATTTTGAAGTTGTAGGTTGGCAAATCTCAGTCAAATAGATTGCCACTGAACGATTGTGCTCATCTTCAAATTATGCTTTGCCAAGAAACTTTCTTGTTTTTAGGATGAAAACTGTAGTTTACTGTATGAGTGACAATAAAGATTGGTATCCTGATCAAAGACAGACATTACTGATTGTTATTTCAGGTTTAGCCAAAAAAAATCCAAATATATTAATTAGGATTCAGTTTTCATGGGATTCAGTGCTTGAAAGTCCCTATATTCCAGTTTTCTGCATATTACACAATATGTCATTTGGGTACTCCACTAATTTTAGTAAGCAAAATTGTTGCCTTACAATATAATCCTGCATATCTTCTCAGAAGTAAATTTTGTTGATTTCACTGACACATACTCCCAAGCAGGTGGCTACAAGATTTCAGCCTTAATTGATTAATTTTCACAAACATTTCTACTATGCAGTGATAAACTGTTTGCATAAAAAGTGTCTGTGATTAAGGTTACTTCAAAGTAAATTAATTGGGCCCAGTGTATCTCAGTTTATATTTTAAAGTGATGTACAGACAATTTGGATAATATAATCAGAAATATTACACTGAATGTTGAGAGGACAATAATAGTTAAGTTTGAAAGCATCCAGTTCTGATTTGATGGTTTTTGAAGAGTAAATGGGAAAGTATATTATGATTTATGACAGAAACTATAAGCAAGGAAGACAAGTTGTGAGTTTTCATTCAAGTAAACCAGAGTGAATACAGAAAAAAGAAATGTAGATAACCTTTAATTTTCCCTTCCAACTCTCCCAAAATATAAACTCCTTTCTTGAATCAGATTGTTTGTAAACATGATGATACTAACATTTTCAATTTTATTTTTTATTCTTAGAGGAAAAGACCCATTGCCAATGTGACAGATGCAAGTGTACAGCCGAGAAACAAGGACTGTCCTTTACATACACCATTAAATTTTGTTACTGGAGCGTATCACTTTGGCAATACCCCTGGCACTAATTTGTTGTTTAAACCTACCCAAGCATCATCAAGAGACTGGTAATCAGATTAATTTTTAACAATTCTAAATATTTTATCCTTCTCAGAATCTAGTTAGGCTTGAGGCCTAAGTTTGTGGTAGGCTATGGCTGTCGTCTGATCTTGGCAAAGAGGATGAAGGTCAGATTGGCCGGAGGCAGCAGATACCAGATCTGACAGACAGGGGCCTGAAGCAGAGATGTAATCAGGGCAAGCCATAGGTCAGGTTGCAGTTTGAGTAGATGGGCACCAAAGGGACAGGGGCAAAAAAAAAGTCAAGACACACTCAAGATAAGGCAGTCCTGTTACTTTTTTAGATTGGTTGCTTGGACTGAGCTTGCAGAAGGAATAATATCCAGTCAGGCAGGCCTCTCTTGTTCCTTCAAGTTACATCATCCTAGCTGGACAAGACCTACATTCCATACCAGCCACCATATTGCTGATGCTACAGCATAACACTGATTAGGTCCAATTATGCCATCAATGTGAAAAATGTCTAAGTGCTAGAAGGAGTTCAGAACTGCTAGTTCTGCAGCCTGAGCCCCTCATTTAAGTCCCTTGGCAGCCCTGGTACCTTACAGCTATTTTCAAATTGAATTCCTAAAAACAGCAGCAGCAATAGTGTAAAAAAGAGGGTAGGTTGACATTTGTTTGACTATTCACATGGTCCAATTATACCATCAATGTGAAAAATGTCTAAGTGCTAGAAGGAGTTCAGAACTGCTAGTTCTGCAGCCTGAGCCCCTCATTTAAGTCCCTTGGCAGCCCTGGTACCTTACAGCTATTTTCAAATTGAATTCCTAAAAACAGCAGCAGCAATAGTGTAAAAAAGAGGGTAGGTTGACATTTGTTTGACTATTCACATGAGAATGAAGAGTTGAGCTTTGATATGGTAGCCAGGTTCAGTTCATTTAGCCTTGAAGCTGATTATATTTCTTAGGACAGATCATTGCATTCAGTAGATGATTATTAAGGGGTAAAATAGACCACAGAGTGAGCAACATATGCTTGGATTGCATGCAACATTTCAGGGATTCAGAGGTGCCCACCACTCATGGAATGTAAGAGGCTTTCTAATTTAAAGAAACCTTGAAGCTGATTATATTTCTTATGGCAAATAGACCAGAGTGAGCAACATATGCTTGGATTGCATGCAACATTTCAGGGATTCAGAGGTGCCCACCACTCATGGAATGTAAGAGGCTTTCTAATTTAAAGAAGCCAATTTTTATAAGAAAAAACTGTTCAGACATCTCAGGAACCAAGGTCCAGTGATGGGCATGGACAGTCTCCAGATTGCTGGAAGCTGCCCATCCTTGAAGGAGACATTTAAGGGAAATACATCTTCTATGGGATTAAGCTTTTGTCTGTCCCACAACATAATTACCTCAGTGATATGAACCTGGGCAATCAGACTTGGAAATTAAGTCTGTGTTTAATTTCTGTTACTAGTCACAGGGCAAAGCAAGCTGGATACAAAATATGGAAGTGTGAGGAAGCACAATCTAAGCACAACATTTTGCACCATATGAGGGAGCACTGTTTCTAAATACAATGACCATCTCATCTAGTTTTTGCATGAAATAAGAACTGTCAAATGCTGTACTGTACTGAAATTTAGTACAATGAGAAACAATGATGTGCCTTTCTGTTTCTATTGTCTACTTTTCCATGGCTTCATTTTCTCTTACGTGTTTTTTAACATTTGAGGTCCCATTTTTCTATTGATGTGCGTACATTGTCATCAAGAGGATCAGTTTTCTTCATGAGAGACAAGCTGGAAAACAGATACATAGCTCTTTACCTTTCAAAGGGACGTTATGTATTCTTACTTGCTGCTGATGGGAAAAGAATCAAAATCAAGAGCAAAGCCAAATACAATGATGGGCAATGGCATACAGTGAGTATAAGAGCTGCTCAGGTTAAAGAATCCTTTAATTCAATGCCTACGGATGTAGACAGGGTAACTTTTCACCTTCATTTCATGAAGTGGCTTTCATTCAGCTGTCTGAAAGACTTGGTGTTCCTTTTCTTTTTAAATGAAGATTTGAGCACATATAATTGTAGAAGTTTTTAGGCTGTGGACAATAACTTGCAATATTTCAAGAGGCAGTGATTGCTTTGTTACAAAAGATATAGAAAGCTGAACAAAATACAGGGAAAGCAGTTTGCTTCAGATCAGCTTGGTAGTATCTGTTAGACCAATACATTTCATGTTCCTTAAGGTTTCTGTAATATATTGGTCAAACATAATTCTTATCTCCTTAAAAGGTGTCATTCAGCAAAACAGAAAAGAAAATGCGTCTTGTTGTTGATGGTTTGAAGGTTCAAGAAGCAAACATACCACCTACCTTTTCTACTGTGGCTGAGTCACCAGTTTACTTAGGAGGGGTTCCTTCATTGAACATTCAGGTACAAAGCTCTGTTTTTTACTGAAACAGATTTACATCAGAGACAGGGGACTTTTTTCTTTATAGGGGATTAATTCCAATTTGGGAAGGCTTTTGAAGGGGCATATTCTAGCAACAAGTAGAAGGGGCAGGAACAAGGACAAAGAAGTGGGACCAAATCAGAGTGGGTGGGATCAAATATAATTCTGCCCTTGATAGGCCAGAAATGGCGTGCAAGCTAAAGTTCCCCAGCCCTCATTTAGGTGATGGTTTACGTTGACAGGATTTTCCAGTCTTATTTTCTACATGGTTTTGACTGTGGCCAAAATCCTGTTATATATTAATGAAATCATGTAAGTTATGGCTATAAAATGTTAGTAATTAACGAGCTGCTGCTTGCATTCCTGAGCATGTGCCTTGTCACCAATCTAAGAACACAACCAAATCCTCATTAAGTAGTGGCAATTTGCTGCTGCAACTGATATGATTTTATTTACTGTACATGACTGTAAATTGCCAATAGGATTGTTGGCCATTGTTAAAAATTGGATTAGTTCTGGCCATCCACGCATAATGGAAGAACGTTTCCAGCCTTTTCTCTAGGGTTGTGTTGTTTCATTTTCCATTATTGCCCCACATATATTTGTGTAAAGGTAAAGGTTCCCCTTGCCTTTTAATCCAGTCGTGTTCGACTCTAGGGGGGGTGCTCATCCCCATTTCCAAGCCATAGAGCCAGCATTTGTCCGAAGACAATTTCTGTGGTCTCATGGCCAGCACGACTAGACACAGAATGCCGTTACCTTCCCACTGAGGTGGTACCTATTTATCTACTCACATTTACATGCTTTTGAACTGCTAGGTTGGCAGGAGCTAGGACAAGCAACGGGATCTCACTCCATCGCGTAGATTCGATCTTACTATAGTCCAGTGTAATAAACCTGATACCTTCCAGGTGTTTTGGGCTACAGCTCCTAAAGTTCCTGATTATTAGTCTTGTTGGTGGGGAATATTAGAGGATACATCTAAAACATCAGGAGAGCAGTACAAAAGCTTATTCTCCTTTAGTTCATCTCCTCTTCCTTTGCAAAATTCAAACACTTACTGCTGAATGGACATGGGATATTCATGAATGAATACGAATATCCTGGGCCCAGGTGGCCGGGATCGCCAGTCCCACCTTCCAAGTCTCTGATGGAGCCCAGCTGCTGCTTCTCTGCCTTCCTGCTCTTCTGGCTGCTGAGCAGGGAGACTTGTCATCTCGCTCCCTGGAAGGAGTGGCCAGAAGAGCAGGAAGGCAGAGAAGTAACAGCTGGGCTTCATCAGAGATTGGCCTGATGAGCAGGATGTTGGCCGGGTACACTCTGCAGTGACCCATAAGTGGACGAGTCAGTCTGGGGAAGTGGAGCTGTGGATCCCAGCCACCTGGGCAATTTACAAATATGAATAGCCCATGTCTACTTCTGTGCAGGCTCTAGTTGGGGAAAAAGAGGTAGTTGCCTAAAAACTATAGGATACATTGATGTATATATTCCTAGGTTAACTTACTAAAGTGTATCTGGGTTGCTAAAGTACTTGTGACTGAGTTTATCATTATCTATGTTGAATTTATATTTTCAGAACATACCAAAAAAGAGCTTTGTGGGTTGCTTGAGAGACTTTAATGTAGGAAGAAAACCTATACATGCTTACCATCAGAACAATGGTGTCCTCCCTTGCTTGGATAATGCTTTGGAGACTGGGGTTTCTTTCTTCAATGAAGGAGGGCATATTGTCATTGGTGAGTATTGGAGTAGGAGTTACTGCTTGATATAAAACATCCCTCTTTTATTGGAAGAATGATCATGACAGTTGCTGTAGCAAACAAAAGTGCATCAAAATCTGTTCTTCCTCCTAATACTGTTTTTAACAAAACATTTCCCAATTCTTTCTGGCATCCCAGAAAATGCTTTTTTGATGACCCAGGACTATAAAATAGAATTTAACATTCGCCCAAGAAGCTTGAATAGCATTTTAATCCATACTGGCAGTGAACAAGGGAACTACTTAACGGTTTACACGGATAAAGGAGTGGTAAGTATGATTTTCTTTTTCTCTTCTTTCTTCTAAAGTTCAAACACTTTGTAAGAAGGGGGAGAGAAGGAGAGGTTCTAGCTTCGAAGGACTGAGGTGTATTATCAGTGGCTGCTTGAATCTAATGGCGTCTGACATCCAGAACCTCTGAAGGGCACCATATCATGGAATGCTGGTCTTGAGTCACAAACTGGACAAACGCCTGTGGTCTGCCAGTGAATGTGTGGGATTGTGCAAACTGGGGCTGGCTTAATTTTCCAATAGTTCCTTTTGAATTCTTTGCTGCAAGCAATGTTAACTGCAGTGGGATACCAACGAGAGCAGGCAAAATCTCCCCCTTAGCCAAGACTCTGGCAAAATCATGGGTGTTTTTATCCTGAAATGAATTGTGTCCCAGAGTGCTCTTCTTTACTTACTCCCATGAAAATGACATTTCAAGGCTATCTTTAATGGTAACCAACACGAAAAAAAGTCAGCCTCACTCAGCAGCAACCCTGTGGAAAATTCTGCTATTTAATATCTATTCTATTACATATATTTACAAGTAGTAATATAAAGAATAAAATCCACAGTTTTTTTAAAAAATCCTTTTGTAACAATTTAAAGCATGTGATGTACTTAACCTTAAAGTACAGCTATCTGGGCTTCACAATGCAACAGCTTTCCCAAAAGGCATTGATAAAATCATGCTTAGCAAAACTTTCATATTGGCATATTGTTGTGTCTGTGATTTTATTTTATTCTTTTCATTTCTGGTAATTTAAAAGATGTCTGGTTTTTTACAGCTCACTGCTTCTGGAAATAATGGTGCTGGAGAGTTCTTGACATCAGTCACACCCCAGCAATTTCTTTGTGATGGAAAATGGCACTTCATAACAGGTACTGTGTAATCTCATTCACTGGGAGCTGGGTAACCTCGTTTAAAGACAGGGTGAAGCATCAAACACAGCCAGGCTACTCAAAATTATGCCTCAGGCTAAAGTCTGTTTCTGATGCATTTTTACTCACATTCTTTAAATGCACAACCCACTTTGCATCTGATTAAGACTTGTGCATCTCAAGCTCTTCTGCTAATAAACATATGATGACCACCATATAGAAATCAATTTGGAATTATCCTAGAATAATCCCATAGGTTTCAGAAGAGCATCTGCAGGCATTATTCTAAATCAACTGGCTTGTTGCCAAAACCATTGGATTCATTAACAAAAAAAGCATATTGTAGAAGCTTAAAGATGAACAGTTTTCATTTGGCATTAGCTTTTGGGGGCTGGAATCCATTTCATCAGATAAGGTTGACTATAATCTGCAAACGTTTATGCTAACAAATCTGGTTAGTCTTTAAGGTGCCATTAGATTCCTCTCTTGTTACTGTTTCAATAGACTAACATACCTGCTTCATGGAAATAGTGTCATCAAATAATCGTACGATATGCACTGACAAAATCACCTTTGCTCTTTTTGTAACATCAGCATTTTTGCTCAGCTATCATAAGAATAACATAATTCTAATTTTAAATTACATTCCTATAAAAATGCAGGCAGAAATTTTTCTATCTGTACGGGACAAATTGCATTATTTCACTGCAGCAATGTAATATTAGCCAAAGAGTCTCTTTACTGAAAGGAGTGGGTATTTTTCAGAAATGGAAGGGTTGTATCAAATATCTGCCCTTTCCTCGTTTTCTTCTGAGATCCAATCTCCAGAGTTGCTTAATTCCCATGAAAGAAAGTGAAATAGCTGTATTTGCAATTTAAACTGAGGTATAAACCCATCAGAGATAAAAAAATAATGTGAAGAGTTGTTAACAGAGTGATAAAGGGAAAGCTTAAGCACCAGGCTAATGCTTTACATATTTGGGATATGTACTGGCTTTAAAAATGGTATATGCTATCAGAGTAAATGCAGGGTGGTTCAAAATGCTCCTAGTCATACTCAAGTAACTTAGGACACCCCTACAAATTACTGAAGTTTATTCTAGCATTTTTGGGGGTTTTAAATGCTGAAATGTGGTGGCAGTTGCTGTAGCAAGAAGGAAGCACGAAAGCAGAAGGAAATGTATAGCTGAAATCCAGTGGAAGCCAAAACCTCATCTGGAAACACAAAGAATCCTGGGGCAGGCTCAGATTTACATCACCAGACTCTATTCCCATTCCGCCCAATTAAGCAGCCATTTGCTATCCAGGCGTGACACGGACACCTTGTTTATTAGGCTGCCTACATCTTAGAATTTTCTTGCTTTTTCTTTTAGGTAGCTACACCCAAATCTTCCTTACACTGAAATTTGAATCTGAATGTGAATATGGTATGGGTGACTGACTTGCTTGTATGGGTGACTGGATAGGCCAAAGTCATGCTAGGACTATTCCTCCCTCAGACAGTTTTTGATTTTTTTTTAATGCCTGCTGCTGGCTTTTATTTGCAGAACTGTTTTCTTCTTTTTCTTCCTGCTATTGGTGCCTATGCCTGTTCCAAGAATGGGTGGATGCCCAATATGCAGAACTCTGATTTGTGCTAGGCTGAGGGTAAAAGGAAAGAAGCTGGTAGGAAATCTGCCTAAGATTTGAAGGTCTGCCATATTCCTAAAGTAGATGGTTTGACATCCTAATCAATCAATCAATCAATCAATCTTTATTTTGCGATCTCCGACCCATTAAAATACATACATATGCTATTTAAAATAAGAGGAAGCAATTAAAACATTTCAAGACAGCTAAAACAGTGAAAATTGATAAAATAGATTACCCATATATTGGGGTTTTTTTAATTTTTTTTTTTTTAATGACGGGGTTAGGTAGAGGTCAATATTGTTGAGAAAACGTGCCTGTATTTTAAGATAATCAAATTCTCTAAATACCTAGCACTTTGGGAGAAATTATAGTTCAGGCCAAGGTGCAAGATGGAGCATGTTTTGTGAGCCACGTCGTAGTCCCTTATCCCAGGTCAAAGCTTTTATATTTTGTAGTTTTTCCCCACCTGATGTAATAACATTCACATACATACAAACATCTGCAAAAATCCAAGATCAGATCAGAATGGGTTGGTCTCAATTTGTCTAGCAAATATTTGGCTACAAGTAGGTTAAGATTGTATTTGCACATGTGAGTACACAGTTACAATGTAAACTAGAGTAACCATAACTACAGTACAGGCATATTGTGTGAATATTGCATTGGTCCAGCATAGAAAGGAGTGGCATAGAATTTCAGGGAATTAAAGAAGTTCAGATATATTGCCAAGGAGAAAAGAAGCCAGTGAAAAGACTTTACTGAAAATGGAACCAGCCAATGTCTTGAATGGCAAGTAAAAGTGATTTATTCATCTGATTGTTTACAGTAACGTTGAAGCAGAACATTGTGCTGCTTGAAGTAGATACCATAAGTAACTACACTACAAGGCCATCAACTGTACTTTCCACCAACCATGTTCAACCACTTTATTTTGGGAGAATTCCAGGTAGGACATCTCTTAATCAGCCAATCCTTTATGTACTGCTGCTTTATTATGTCTCCTATTTATATTTTATAAAGTATATACGTTAATGACCTTTATACATTGAATATTAAATTCAAATTGGCCTCAACTTTACAGATTGAGCATCAAACTAGACAAAATGTTCAGCCTGCCTTTAGAAGGTGATAATCCATTTTTCTTCTCACAATTCGATTTTCTCAGAGATGCAAGCTTGAGTAATCAGACTTGCAAATTAAATCCATATATATCTTCCAGTGATCAATCACAAAACAAAGCTTACTGAAACATAAAATACAGACCTGAATGAAAGTATGTATTATAACAAATAGACATTTTTCAGCACTTAAGGAAGCCCATCTTTTGCCCCTTACCTACTGTTCAGCTGACAATTGTCTCTATTAATAATTGTGTGCTATCGTGTCGTTTCTGACATATTCCACTCTTTTTGGAGTTTTCTAAGAATACAATACTTAAAGTTGGTTTACTGTTATACTGTTTTCTTCTTGGGGTGCTCTGGGACTGTGCAGCTTGCCCAAGGCTATACAGGCTGGCTGTTCTCCTAGAAAGAATAACAAGAAATTGAATTCCCAGCTTCTAGCTCAAGAGCAGGTACCCAACTCAAAGAGCTATCCAGCTTGATCAGTTGTTTGTTTCCATCTGGAATATATGTTTGCAGAAAGAAGGCAGATTATAGATATTATACATTAAAGGAGAGATTGTGTCAGTAAAAAAGGGGGAGAAAATAGAAGAACAAGCAAAAAAATATGTATTTGTTAAATTGCTTTTTTCTAAAGCTGTCCAGAGTTGGTCAGAGGGGACATGCCTATGTAAATGCCAACGTTCCCTACATATCATGAATAAATTCAACCTAATATTGGTAGCTATGTTACATACAATGAGGAACCAAGTTTTGAATGGGAATATGAGTGACACTTTGCATTCTGGCTTCTACTGATAAAGAAATTCCAAAACACATTTCTCATAACTATGCATAGGTTTTCTGTAATCGCATTAAAAGCTTCTCACATCTTTCTTATCTTATTCTTTCTCTTTACAGTTAATATGGAAACACCATGGCTTCCTGTTCAGGATATGTTTCTTGGCTGTCTGAAGGATGTTAAAATCAATGAGAAACCTGTCTTAATAAGCAGACTTTCAGACATTAATGGTATCGTCAGCCTGCAAGGGTGCCCTGTTAACTAATGGCTTTCCATGTTTCTTCCCAGGGTGAAACGTCCTAATGTACTGTATGACAAGCCATGACATGACTTTCTCATCTCTTTGTAATTCTTGCCATTTGTATACAATGTGGTGTAAGGCTGTGCATGATTTTGAGAATTGTGGACTTTGTTGCTGTTTTCAGATGCTTTTCATGCAATGCTTTTCACTTTTCTGTGTGCAGTTTGGTTTGTAAGAAAGAGCCATGAAGTACAGAGTGGTCTTGTATATAATGTAATTTGATGAGATTTGCAGGAGCTCCTGACCTGAAAAGTATTGTGTAAATTGGAATTGGGAAAGCTTCAGATTGCAAGCGGAATCCAACCTTGACGTTGGAATTTTATAAAAACAGAAAATGATGTTGGGCTCCTCAACCAGTACTTTTTTATACCAAAGTGTATTACGTCAATAACAGAAATAATATAAACTGAGTAAGAAGCACTTTAAAAAGAGTAGAATCCCACAGATTACAGTTCTAAGAGTTCTATGACAAAATAAACACAATTTGCTTTTTAAAATTCTTTTGACCATGTACTGTACGCACATATAGCAATACAGTATTTTATGAGCATTAATGAAAAAGCTTGAATGATCATGGATACACGTTTTCAGTCCAATATCTCCCCCCCACCGGAAAATGAATAAAGTGTCCTTCAGTTGTGTAATTGCTCTGAATAATAACAGAACCAGTTTTGAGAAAATGGTTTGATCCTCTCATCCCTTATCCTGAAAACTACAGAATCTGCAGTTAGAAGCTTAGGGGGAAAAAAAACAAAATTAACAAGCAAAGCAAGCAAGCAAAAACTCTTGGACACAAGAATTACTAACATTTCACACTGTAATTTTTTTCAAAGTGTCCTTTCAGCTTTTTAAAAAACCTTTACACTAAATGACTCATTTACAAAGCCCCAGTTAGGAAATATTTTGAGAGAAGCAGGTTATCTCAATACAAACAATTCTGTAATTTAAAGAAGAAGGTGCTTACTACAACAAATGCACACTGGAATGAGAAACATTTAAAACTGGTTACGTAATCCTATGGTCTGGCATACCTGTAGTCATTTTACACCAATGAAATGTCAGAAGAATATGGCTGAATTCCCATGCACATCCAAAAGAAATGTAGAGGAGAAAGCAGCAATACAAGCACAGGAAGACATAGCAGTTGTGCTAGTTCATCTCTCTGCAGCCATGGCAACACTTGCTTACCTTTCTGAGGCACTTTGTCCTTGCTTCCCCAGTTGGAAAAGTGATGTTCAGGGTCTAAAGCCTGTCTTAAAAACAAACAAACAAACATGTATGCTGCTTGTTGGTGGAAGAAGTGTAACAACAGAGCTAGCCTGGCCTACTTTGGAAGGGTGTTCTAGAGTCTGCCATGTGAGTAGTCATCAGAGATAGCTTTCTGTCATGTTCCCACCAAATTTGCTTCTGATGGTAGCAGGATAGTCAGGAACATATTCCATAATACATGATAATGGTAGTCAGAGGACACACCACTCACAATCATGCCATCTCTGATACTTTCCCTCGATTTGTAACCTTTCTCTTCCTGTCTCCTTGGTCTGATTTCCATAATATATACAGGGAAGTACCGGTAGCTGGTTCTGAAAGAAGGAATAGCCACATTTATGTGCATGTGGCGCATCATTAAACAAATGTTTGACAGCAGTTGCAACGAGCAGTTGTCTATTCTAGTATTTTCCATTCTCCTTTTGTCTGTTTTTTTTCTGTTTCCCTGCTTTCTTCTAGAATGCTATATACAAGTCTCTTCCACAGAGAGACTACTGTATTTGGAAGGTTGTGGTAAATGTAACTATTTGGAAGGTTGTGGTAAATAAGCCGTAGCAATTCAATAGTATATTTCAAAAGCCATTAGAGGTTGCTATGTAAGGCCTAATCTTTGCTTTGTTAAATGAGGTCTGGTCAACTGAAATATTTTCTTATCTACAAAAATTTTATGGCATTGTTATTAACCTTCCGAGAAAGATGGCTTTGCACACAGTTTTTAATTAAAAATGGGAGTATAACAAAGACCCTTTCAAGACTATAATTTCTGGCATAAAGTAAATTATTATTCTTACTGTGTTCACCAAGTGAACACATCTATGTCAAAAAATTCATTGGCCCTTTCTGCTTTGTAAATGAACAGATAAAATGCTGACATTCCTGAACTTTCAAACTTCAAGCATTCCCAAGAGACCTTGGATCTGAATCAAGGCTAGAGGACATTAGCCACTGAATAGAGATCACAGTGGCTTCTGCCAACTCTGAAAATCTTCAGTTAGTAACCAAATTTAAGGTTAAGTCTATTCAGAGTAAGCCCACATTTCTATAGAGAGAAGATGGCTGTCCCATGTCTTTTAATAAATTGCTGCAGTATATTTATATTCAAATTGGGACAATAAAAATAATTACAAGGTTTTATCATAGTGAATCATCATATAGTTGGTATAGTCATCACAATGACTATACCAACAATAGAGAATGCAAAGTTTCAATCAATAGCCATAGAGTAAGGTTTGAAAATCTTTGGCCCTTCACATCTGGATTTCAGTTTTCAGGATTATTATTACAGATCATGGTGTTGTAGTTCAAAATGTCTGGAGGACAACTTTAAAAAGAAATCTCAGCAGCCCAGGAAATCTCTTCTTTTTGTTCTCTGCTGGCATGAGTTGTGTTCGCAGTCTCCTGGCCCTTCCAGTTGTGTGAATCTATGAAGCCATGAGTGCTGTAATCTTCCCTAAGGCCCTGGCATAAAGTAACTCATAACAGGGAAAGCAGGTACACTAGGTAGGATGCTGCAAAAAACAACTAAACAGGTATTAAACACACACACACACACACAAAGTAAAGTATGTCTAAGGTACAGGATGTATTTTCACGCCATATACAACATTGTCTTTTATTGGGTTAATTTAATTTCTGTCCTGCTTTTCTGTTGGAAAAGCTTCAAAGCAGCTATCAATAATGATAAACTGCAGTATAAGGCACAGCACATTTAAAATATGGGGCATAGGTAACAGCAAGGCAGTCAGCATTTGCCCTTCCGAAAGAAGTAAATCTCACACAGATCTGCAGAAAGTAGCAAATGATGAAGACCAGCATAGTACCACAGCTCTCTAGCACCACAGTAAAAAAATACCCTGTTCTACATCATAGACCGCCTGGGAAGATGGAATGACAGGTGGGGTGTCAAACATTCAGTTGATTGTTCCATTGGTACATATTGGAAGAGGCAGTCCTCAAGAATTGCCAGTCCTAAAAGTTGTACTTAAATGTCAGAACCACACTGAACTGATGAATGTAGAATATATACCCAGCATTACACATATTCAGCAGCAGCCCTAACATCAGGCAAAATGAAGCAGCTGGCTTTTGAGAGAGTTGTGTACCACATAGACTTCTTTGCACAACCTAAAGTAGATTTTTGCCTTCAGTTGTATTGGAGGGTGGTGCCTCATCTTCAATGCTGAAGAAAACTTCATTTACATATCTATTTCTTTTAAAAGAAAGCCAAATTAGTTTATTTTGGCACAGTATTTGAGAATAAACATTACCACAAGCAAGGCAACTGCCAGTTTCAACAAAGTAGAGCAAGCCATTTAAGATGTCAAAGAAGGCCTAAGCGGTCATATAATGGTTGAAGGCACACACTCCTCCTGTCCCTCAGTGATTCCTTGATCATGAAGGCAGGAGGGTTTGTGATAATCTGATTTTAGAGACTAAGAAGGACTCTGTGTGTGTGTGTGTGCGTGTGTGCATGCATGCACGTGTACATATATGATGGGGCCAGCCTGACCCAGGAAAGGCCTGGTGTTTGCAGGCTCAGGCCCTGGCTTATGTAGCAGCTGCTGGGCCACTCATGAGGCTCACCTGGAAACTTGGAGCAAAGACGTATTTAAGGAGTGGTTGTCCTGCCCAGAACTTGCATCAGCAACAAAGGTCTTTGGCTGCGTGTTCCTGCCTTGGGCCCCGCTCTTGCTGCGGCTTGCTGCCTGTATCTCTGTGTCTTGACTCATGTCCCTGCTTCTGTTCCTGATTTTGGACTTCATACTCTGTGTTGTGGACTGGGTCCTGGTGTCCTTGCTCCTGGGGAGAGGATGCCTGGGATATCTTGGATGGTGACAGCAATTTCACAGAGGCTTCTTCTGTCAGCCTCAAAATTAACAGTGCACTGGGATGATTTTTGCTGTTGTTTTCCAACTAATCTCTACATAAGCATGCAACTGCAAGACCAAGGGAGGGTAGATATTGGGTGGCTAAACAGCAGTGGACTGCAATCCTGTAACCACTTACCTGGGAGTAAGTACTATTTAACTCAGATGGAATTAGCTTTGGGAAGATGTTTACAAAAAAATTTTTAATTGGGAAAAATGAAGACTTATAAAAAGTGTAGCTCTGCCCCATTCAAGAGTTATTTCAAAATGTATAATTGGCACAGGGGAGGAAGAGAGAGGAGCAAGGGTGACTATGCTAGCTCCTTCCCCATCCACTTTCTTCATGCTCTGGATGAATTTCTGTAACGGATTGGTCTCGGGCAGGTTTCGTCATCTTTCAGAATCACTTCCTGGATCGACCTAGGGTTTTGTTTTTTTTAAGTAATGCAAAAGCAACTGATTTTTCACAAGCCACTGGAGATGGCACTCATTGATTTCTAGTTTCATTACGAGTTTATCCTTAAGAAATAAAACCCACACATTCTTTACTGTGGAAAGTGATTTCCATAGAGAATAAAGTTATTGGCCCAAATCCTATTGTGCAGTAGTTGTGCAAATGTTGAGACAGAAATGCTATCTATCCCTGACCAATCAACTGTGCTGGAAATGCATTATGCAATCAGCTGTATTGGAAACACATGACCAATTCTGAAGTGACAAAGAGGTAAGAATCTCAGTTCAGAGCATTTGAAGAGAGACACTACATTATACTAACAAGTATTCATAACATCGTCTCTGGCTCTCTCTAGTAGCTGGTTCTGGTAATAAATATATTTGAAAATAGTTTTTTTCTGGATTTTAATATTTTTGGACTGTGGATAAGTGAAACCATATACACGGATACCTACTGGATTTGATTATTTATTCAGGTTTTCCCTCTCCAGCCCATATGAAAGTTTAGACTGGACTGTTGTTTAAAAGCAAATTTCCAAAAGTTGGTCATTTCAACTGAGTTATTTCTGAAGATGTTTATAGGCTTCTATGAGTCTTCAGGGGAAGGGTCCACAGCCTACTTATGTGCTTATTTATTTAAGTGATTCACAATAATTAAAATTAAAATAGCCAAAATCACAATAAATTACTCAATTAAAAAACTGAAACATATAATAGCATAAAATTGTGTATGCTGTGTGCTATCAAATTGCATTTGATTTACAGCAATCCCAAAAGGATTTTCGAGGTAAGAGAAATATTTAAGGAGTGAAAGAATCTTAAAAATACATTAAGATCTCAGTGAGAATCTAGTTTTAATGCCCAATGGGATTATTAAAAGCCTATAAAAAGAAACGTATTTATAGGAAAATATCCTTACCTTTCATCAGAAGAAGAGGAAGAGGGCCAACTTTAACCAGCTGAGGGAGGGCATTCCACAACCTGAGAGCAGCCACAAAAAAGGGCCGTCTCTTGAATCCCCCCCCAAAAAAAAACATCCTGTGAGGGCAGTGGGGCATAGTAAAGGGCCTTCCCTGATAATTTTAGGAGCTAAGTAGGCTCATGTGGCTCTTCAGATAGCTTGGGCCCAAGCCATATAGATCTTTATAGATCATAATCAGCA